AGTAGTTACTTCTGAATGAAGAAATAACACTGTGCAACAAGGAATTCCAAATGACATTTTCTGCAAATAATTGCCAGCGATAATTACCCATTAAGCCATTGCAGATCGCGTTCAGCCATTGCTGATTCAATTGTTGTTTGTAAAAAGCGGCTGAGGACCTTCCTCAACCATCATCCACCACTTACTGTGTTTATTTTTCTACTTCAAGTGTAATTTCGCGTTAACATTGTCACGTTTTTCAACGAAAATCGAACGTTTAAGACGCGACAGAAAGGCAAACAATGACGCCGCACACACGGCGTATGTGTAATGTGTTAAAAATGACAGGGTTTCGCTCGTCTGCCATCAGGGATTAGTGGCAAAGTGACTGGAAGGATATGTCGGCTTTCGTCCTTGAAACTAAAGAACCAGCCTTGAGCACCGAAACTGAAACTTCTTCGGCCTGATGCGGCTGGGGGGGCAAAAGGGCAAATAGCAATCTTACTTAACACAAAATATATTGTGGCAGCGCCATTTTCAATGGCTTCGAGGGCTGTTCAAACCGTTTTCGTTAGTGACTGTGGACGAGTCCTCAAACTGATGGCCTAACCCACTCGCACGAAGCTTAGATTAATGTTTGCCTGGCAGACACAAAGGATATTTGATAAATGATCCCGGCCATTATGTTTCCCTTCATCTAGCCGCTCAACATGTGTAAGTACATTTATACGAGTCAAGGCGTATGAGTGTCCTTTCTACATCCAGTATATAGAGATCAGTCTTTAAGTATTCTAGAATCGTGAGGCAGCTCAATTGACATAATGTTTAAGAGCAGTAAGTCAAGGACCTAGAAAAGCTTGAGGGGCTTACAAACTATATATTTACACTTTAGGATGTGGGTCATAATAAACCTAGAAAATATTTCTTAAAAATAATTTGTGAGACATTCAAAAGGTTTCTTCATTTCATTTCCACAAACTAGGTTTTTGTTTACTAAAAATAATGAACTCATGAAGTTAAAAATGAAACCACATAATCCTGGTATCGAAAGTTGCATTCAAATTCCTTCGAAATTCAATCTTTGGTAAGGAAAACTTTTGTTTCTATGCAAAAATTGGATCCTAAAATAATATATATTGCAGTTTTATTGTTTGCCATTGCTTTCCTGTTTTTAAAGAAATTCAAATTGTAAAAGTTATTAGTTGGAGTTTGGAGTTATGAACAGAAAGTTGTTATGAGGTTTGTTGCCAAACTCCAGTTGAGCTCTCATTTTAGCTTATGGAGAAACTTCGACTTGGTGCAGCAGTTCAAAGATATTTGTTTTCATTTTCCGGCTTGCGAACACATACCCGAAATTAATTGCTATTGCCTGGAAAGTAATTGACATTGGCAATGCAGGTGTCCATGTCCTGGCCACAGACCGCATATCCTGTCAAATCGGGCGGCACGCACATGTCCGGTGGTCGGTGTCAAAGTGCCTGGGAAAACAAACGACAGGCCCAGCAGGCCGAGGATAGTTTAAATATCCTGGTCTGGCATATTCCCCCCACTCACCCATATACCATGTCCCGTGTCCTTCTCCACTTAACTGTCATAACAGACCACACAAAACGTCATATTAAAGTAATTAAGTGGCATAACAACTTTGGGGCATGCAAAGACGACAGGTCCTGTGTCCTGGCAAATTGCCTTATTGACTCATTAGCCGGGTTTTGAGCGTCATTAGCCGGGACATTGCCGGAACGATGGCCATGAGGAATTTAATAAAAACACCCAAGCGGTTGGGGACGTAAATTTGCATAGTAATGGCGGGGGGGTGGTGGACTATCCTGCCGGTCCGAGATTGTACGCATAATCTTATCGAATGATTTAATTCTGCGGGTTTTTCGCTTAGTTTCTGCTGCTGGCAGGCCCGTACTTTTGTGATGATTATCTGGACTCTCGACGAGGACCTACATTCTGGTTATCTACCAGGACATGGGCAAATGAGCATCAAGGACCACTGGCACTACCGAAAAAAATTCGTCGACTTCAGTTTAGGGCATTTATTTCTCCAATTACTCCCATTTCGCCATGGCAATCGTTTGGTTGACTACCAACTAAAGGACTTTTATGGAGATCCTGTTCGAGTGAAGTCCTTGCGCTCCAATTCACAATTACCTCTAGAAGTAAATAAATGAATTTCGAGCGCTCTTCAGTTTTTATTAACCATTATTGCATTTCTTCCGGCTCAACGTTTTTTTAAACCCAACAATACAGTGGCAAAAAGTTGCCAAAGAGATTGTCTTTTTTGCTGACATATTCATACGATAAATTATATTTTTACACAACGCAACGGATGCATGTATTTGCTTACCAGTTCATATTAATATTTCATATTTATTTCATTTCCATTTATAGGAATGGCATTTAAGAAATAAGAACAAATTAATATGGCATATAGCTGGATACTTTTTTCACAACACATTTTATATATTTTATTCTTGCCTAAAAAAGTGGCTCATCAATATTTGATTCCTTTTCAACGCACAAATTTATTGCCAATTCATATAAATATTTGATGTGTTTTGGATTTTCTTTTTTTATTCATAGCTTAATATGAGAAAAATGTCAGTGGGAAAACCTGATTGTTTTTCTGTGCTTACATATTTGTATCTCTAATAAATTTCCCTGCCCAATTTAGATACTCGTACATTTTTGGCTCGCCTTAGCGGTAGCTGAATTTTTCATGAAAATATTTAACCTTTTTTTTTTTGTTGTATGCAAATAGCTTTGACATCTGTCGAAAAGGACGAAAACTCCTGTGTGTTTTCCTCACTTTTGAGCGCCACCCAGTTGATTGTGCAAAGGCCACTTAACGAGGAAAACGCAGAATTTCCCCGTTGAATTTTTCACACTGCCAGGAACCGAGAGTGCAGCAGCTTTTGCTGCCATTTAGCGAGTTGCACAACTCGGCTGTAACTGCTGGTATAAAGCTGGCGCAGAATCCTGGTGGCTCGTCAGACGGCTTAGCATTTAAATGGCTACAACCGTTTCAGCCCTTTAAGCCGTTTCGAGAGGCCGGGACTTAACCCCTAGCCACGTTGGCTCTCAGCTCCCCCTTTTATTTAATCGTAAAACTGGCTTTAAAGGCAGAAATCCAGGAATCACTTTATTTCATGGCTTAGTTTCCGGAAAATTCGGAAAACTGCTGCTGCTAATGGCTATTTATTATGGTATATTTACGCAACTAATGCTGACCAGGAATTCGGTTTGCTTTGTTAAACACCAAGCCATGAAGGTTCGATGAGAGGATTAAGAAACTAATCCCAAGAAATGGGACTTGGGGATACCCTGGTTTTCTAACAGGATTCCTCTCCCTACCTGCTGCTTCTGTTCCTGCTTTTTTCTTAAAAAGGTTAGGTTAAGTTTTTTGGCTCGAAAAGAAAAACCGGGAATTCAAAGGCCGGCAAAGTCAACAGTTTTAAAAACCGCAAATGGGGGAGCAAGAGCTGGGAAATTCGTCCATGAATGAAAGTGAATGGAGGCCATAAAAAGGCCAAAAGAAGTCGCCTGGAGAGTATCAATAAAGGCCGTGTAAGCCGCCAGCCAAAGCAAACGAAGGCGAAAGGTCAATGTAAAAAGTGCCAGGCCACAATAAAAAGAAAACAGTCGCCGCAGCCACCAAAAAAAAAGAGAAAATACCGCAAAAATGGAAAAAACTGAAGAAAAGCTGAAGGCGCAAAGGCCAACGATGCGTGCACATAAAAAGGCAGCGTCAATACGCACAAATATACATTGTAGATTGCTTGTAAATATATTTATAACTATAAAGTGTGGGTGGCTTGTAACGAAGGGTTTCGAACTAAAGATACCCTGCAAAGTGGAGAAGTAAGAAGAGTACTAAAGATAGCCTTCAAAGTGGAGAAGTAAGAAGAGTATTTATACAGTACAACATGAGAAAGTCAGTAAGTGACTTAAAGCTCTCATTCAACTTCATTTATCACTTACCATATTTAGGCCAACTTAGTACCACAAATCTCATTGGTAATGGCAACGATACAGTTTTCACTTAGTAACCAAACCAACCCTTAAGTCTCCAGCCTACGTGGTATTTTGCAATTTTTGAGACAGCTCGTAAAAGACGCTGGAAAACTGTAAAGCCATCCGGAAGGATATCGCGACCGCGGCTGGGAATTTGAATACAAACGCAACGCGTCACTCGTAAACTTAAAGCTATTTATTTAATTTTTTTAAAGCCCGCAATTTAGGCATGAAGTTAGTGGGGATGGAGGAGGCGGTGAAAGAAAACCGCCAGAAGCGTCGCAGTTAAGGGAATTCACAGAGACAAAGGAGACATTGTTTTTCCAGGGAATCAATTACATCCTCAGTGCGCCCAAGGAACTCATCTTTCTCGTTTCATCCACCATCCAGCCGACATTTTAGCCAACAGTTTCTATCGACTCGCACTGGCTGCAAGCGATTTTTTTGATTAGCTTCCGCCCACACAGAATTCTCGAGGAGAAGCCATTCGGTGGGGACTAATGCATGGCAGGCGGCAGCAAAAGGAGCAGCAGGTAATAAAATAATAAAATTCTGTTTTGATTTCTGTCTTCCCTTCCAAGGACTCCCCCTTATACCAACCAAAAACATTGCTCCAAATACGATGACGTACACGTGCCCAAAAATAGCAACAGCTTGCTAACAAAAATTCAAGGCTACAAGGGAAAGGGTATATTGGAGTATATTAGATTTAGTATCTAACTTGTTTCTAACTCTTCTATTTACATTAAACTTATCTTACATTATTCTTTATAACAAGTCTTAATAACCCACTTAATCTTAACATCTTTAATCCCCCACATTTAAAAAATATATTTAACAAGATTTTATTAATCAAACATTAAGATAACCAATACTTAAAATAGATAACAAATTAGTAAAGGGTACTCGCCCAGCCCTAAGATCAAAACCATATTTTGTTTTTCCTTTTTTTTTCAGGATTTTCCGCGTGTTATGGCAACCAGTCGGTGAAATAACAAGAATCACATTAAACAGCATACATGGCCTCAGCTCTTGGCATCAGCGAAACCAATGCGATGCTTTTCCATGTCGAACTCTGTATAGTATTTGCCCAGAAAGACATCGCCCAGAATCCAAAGGGGACCCTTGGGTGAAGGTAGATCCACGGCAATGAAAGCAGATGAGCAGATCTTTCGATTCTTGTGGATATCCCGAAAGACATACTCGTGACCCTCCAGGAAAAACTTTCGACCTCCCAAGGCGAAGGTTATTCTTGGTAAATTAGAAACACTATCGCAGGGTACTAGAAATTGTCCAAACGACGATGGAGTTCCCCCTATGGACTCATTGATGAGTATGGCCTGATCATAGGGTAAAGCCAAGAAAGAGGTGCCCGTGTCGATAATCACTTCACACCCCCGCTGACACAGCTCTAGATTCCTGATACTGGCAGACTCCATTTTCACCTGCCAGTAAGCTCGATGACTGACCTTGACATAGGTAAAGTTGCCTTTATAGTAGCTAGGATTGGAACCACCAAAGAATATCGCTCCACCCTCCTTGCCATTCCTGCTCAGGTAAACACTAAATACGGGCTTGGCCAGCAGTCCCTGCTCCATCATGGCATAGAAAGGTGGTTTGATGTGCTGCATCGAGATGCTACGATAGGCCAGTCCAAAGATGCCATCGAATTTGGCAGCCAGGAAGATCGGACCCGGCATTTCAGTGGCCTCCGCAAAGGTCTGATCCCGAATATCCAACCCAGCCACTCGAACGGTATCCGTTGAGAGGAATCCCGACAGACTTCCACTGCCGTAGTGGATGGCAAAGCGGTCTCCTTTCACCTGGTGACTGGTCGATCTCTTGGCAAAGTACCGATTGTGTACCTTGCAGGCTAGCATTGTAGGGGCACAGGTTGCGGATGGCACCCAGAGATTCGAGGAACCTGTGTCGAAGATCACCTGGAAGCTTTGCGGAGGAGTACCTATCGTAATAGGTCCAAAGTACTGGGCATCCAGGTAATTGCTCAACGGCGCGGACTTTACCTCAGAATTCCATACTCCTCGAAAGTGGCTAACCTCCTCGGCATACTTCAAGCGCAGTCTATCCATCCGGATGCCCAACTTCTCGAAACGATGACGGGCAGAGGGAAAGCGACGCAATGGGACGCGATACAACTGCAGGCTGCAACTGACCGGAAGTAGAAACTGCAGCGGAAGTAAGAAAAACAGCGGAAGTAGGGAAAGAAACAGCCACATAATGCTATCAAAAGCAGTCGTTATTCAAGTTATATTTCGAAGCCAGGCAAGTGACTGTTACAATAAAATATCAAAGCAAAGTCGATACGATAACGAGAAATTGAGAGTGGAAAAGAGGGGGTGGTAGGTAGCCTTCCTGTCATACTTGTTGTGTAATAAATTGTGTTTAAATATTTCCATTGCATATGCCAAGCATCCGATTTCATATATGGAAATGGTTTACTAAGGGATGAGAATAGTTGTTACCCCTTGAAAAGAAAAATTCTACTCGAAAAAGTCAAACGAAAATCTCAGATTAAAAACTATATCAGGGCATAAACCTAAATTTACTGAAATTCTTAAAAATTTCTTTATTTTTCCAAATTTATTTACATTTTTGTTGGCAGCTTTTTCACACCAAAACAACTCCATGTACCCCATCCACCGAAATAAGTACCGAGCAGCATAAAAATTTCCATGAAAATGTAATTGGAAATGTGAAACGTCTGTGTGGCAGCAGTTTGGAATCGAACTCAAATCGAATATGTGTGGGCGGTAAAGGATGAGGGAAACCTTTTCATTGCAATATGAAAAGCGTCCAAAGGTGTCGGGTTCAAGTCGAGTCAATGTGTGAACTCAAACTGGAAAAAAAGAAAACGAAAAAAAGATGAGTGCAGCAATGGCAGGGTCTTCTAATTGTAGTTGTTGGCATTGAAGGGCGCTGCTCGATTGCACTTTCATTTCTACACTTTGCCATTTGCATAAAGATGTACTCAATTGCTTGGATACGAATGTCTATCAATATGTTTTCACTCTACATTGAATCACTTCGAGGGCAAACAGCATAAAGCGAAGGCTTTATATTTATTCATCATTTGTCCCAACGTGTTGGGCGCCAATTAAAACGTCAACCGTCTGGCTAATGCGACAATAACAAGGCCTTCAATATAGCATAATAACGGAATGGGAAGAGAAGACAGCAAATCCCAAATCCCGAAAACCTTTTTAGACGACCTCCTCGTGAAAGCCAGCTGTCAATGACAGGCCACACCTGCGCTAATGGTCCGGGGAATACGACAATGCCCGGGGTATCATCCGCTCCTTTTGCATTATTATTTTTCGCAGAAAGTCGCTGGGGGCTTGCCGGCACAATTAATTATTGCATTTTGCTGACTGACTCTCAAGGCTTTTGACCTGGCCCAAAAAAAAAAAAAAGATTGGCAAGTGAAACAAAACTGAGCGTTTAATTAAAGGCGACTTTCTGGCCCTGAGCAAATGAAATTATCCGATGAATTGATATTGCATTAGGTGCCATTAGGCAAAGAGCATAGAGAGCTAAGCAGCAGACCTTCATTGAATTAGGCAAACACAATTAAAGTTAAGGGAAAGGCAAACTTTGAGTTTCTGATTCCGGGGAAAGGGGAGCTGTCACAAAAATCAGTCAGTGGGACAGCAGAGTTGAAGTCAAAAGTCATGTTGCTGACAGGAAGTGTGCTGGAGTGTAGTGGGGGGAGGGGATGCCTGGAAAAGCTGTCACCGAGTGTCAAGAGCCGAAAGAAAACTTGTGTGTGGCAACACTTGTTGATTTTTGGCGAAAAGAAACGAAAAGTTTGTCTTCCTCTTTCGACCTGTGTCCACCACAAGGAAAAAGGTAAACTCGGTCTCGAAATTGGAAAGCGGAAATTGCAGGCAGCACATTTTGTATTCTTTGATGCTTATAAATTAGGTTTGGACCAAAAAACCCGAGTGAAAAGCAGGGGGAAAACAGCTCCCTTCTGGCTAATATGAAAGAGATAGAGTTCTTTGGGGAGAGAGGAGAGTAGAAGGGATGTACAGGTAGCAAAACCAAACCCACAGCTGGCCAAAAGTTTTCGCCAAGAACTGCAAGCCAAGTGGATGATTCAAGGCATGTGGTCTTGGCCAGAAAAAAAACCAATTATAACGTAAAACTTTGGCTCAGCTCTCTATCTCGACATTTTGGCCACACGAGAAAAAAAGGGTCTGGCCATGCGGTTTACTCTTGAAATTTCTGATTCTGAGAAAAGCCAAAAAATATATATATATATTTATATATACACGAGGAGGACGCTGACTTGTTGCCGTTTTAAATTATTTATGGGCCAATTAGTGGGGGTCGAAACAAACCAAAAACAGGGAAGACTCTCGACTTTGGGTATCCAGTTTATTGATTTGTTTTCCATTTCGCACAGACAGCCGCAGAAACTTTCCCTTAACCCTAACCGAGTTGTTAGCCCAGAGCGGAAAAATATAAATAAGGACTCGGCGAGTGTTTTGTGGGAACTCGAACTCGCATGTGGGATGCATTTCTCGGTTGCAAATGTCAATGGAGCAGCAGGAATATGGAAATAAATTGCCACTGCCAAGAGATGCAAAATAGTGGGGCAAATTGAAAAGTTTCTGCCACCATAGCAGGAGGTGTTATATTTCCAAAAGGATGAAGGATTATGTACTAAAAGGATAATGCTGTGCAGTTTGTGTACAAAAGTGTGATGAATTGGGCTAAGGGGGGGCGGAGAAAGAAATGGCCTTAAGCGTTGCTCTTAACTCATTAACACGTTGATTCTCGCACTTTAACTTTGCGGTCGTCAGCGGGCAAATTAAGCCGTTTTAAAGCCGGTTAAATTGCTTCGCCAGCGGCATTGATTGATATCCAGCGCTGCTGTGGAAGCAATCAATTAAGCGAACAACCATGCCAAACACTTTGCACTCAATTTTGATTGATTTTCTGAGCAATAAAGTGCTGAATATAACCGAAAGGTGCAAGGGGATAGAAATATTTATCGCAATGCCAATCAGTAATTAGTATGCAATAGAACTATATAGCATATAGGAGTGCTCTTTATAGAGATTGTAGGTGACAGGCACTGACTCAACTTCGCTGGCAGCTGATGTCCCAATTCGATTTGCATAAAGAATGTTACCCAGTTGCGATGACAGGCAGTGGAAATTGTTTTTAAAACCGTCATCAGCAGGAGGATTGAGGAAGTTTCGCTGCCATCCCCGTTGACAGCTTTAAGTTCCTGCCTTACCACCACCATCATCATCATCGGAAGTTCAAAGTTTTTCCCCTCAACAATGATGGAATTGTTTAAGCCGGCAAGAGCAAATATTTAATTAGCCGAGGTCCTCGGGGCAGAGTGCCATCACTAAGTCAGATGAGAGGAGAGGAGAACACATCCTGCGGCCAAATATTTTCGGCAACCACAGGCATTCGAGCGTGAGGCACGTCAGATGAAATACACTTTATGGCCAAGGACTTTCGGCGAGAATTCCCGCCGCCATCTAGGCGCTAAGTTTCTGGCCCTATTCATAATACATCTACACATAATTAAGGAGATTTGGCCGCAAAGGCAGAAGCTATACATAAATCACATACGCCCTGAATGCTCATCTCGTTCTATGGACAGTGTTTTTAATTAGAGAGGAAAGTTGCTTTGCAGATGAGTTTTTTCGTTTTTCTTTTGGGAAATGTAATATTTATTTCGGATTTATTCAGGCTTTTTATGAGCCATGTCGGCGTTCTACTAAGTGAAAAAAGTTATCCTACTATTAAATGTTTTCTTCAGCAAGAGAGGTCTTCTCTATATACTTCTTCATGTTTACAGACTCTTAAATTGTACGACTTTTTAATTGGGGCTTAAAAATTTTAATTTTCTTTCAATGAAAAAAATCAATACAATTTTATTTGTTGTTTCTTTCAGGCCAAAACCTCTGCTCCGTTATTATTCAGCAGGTGGCTCGCCATTTTTAAATGCCTTTTCTACGCTTGCTTGCCCTTTGACCTGATGCCAACTTGTTAATGTCAGAGTTTCTGCGTCGTGCCTTAAATGCCCCGCCTCTTGAGTTTTTGAGTATGGCTGTTAATTAAAGCAGCTGCTGAAGAACCCTTTTGGAAAAGATTTCATGTATAGTGGCCGCCTAAGCGACTTATAATTGAGTTCCGTTTCTCGCGCTGCTGAAGTTGCCATTTTATGCGCACAATTTGGTTAATTAAAATGCTACAATTGCGTTGGCATTTTTGTGGCGCCTCGTTTTCCTGCCACCCTCATTTCACCCCTCTTATCTGGCTCTTTCAGGTATTGAAGTAAGGCAAAGTGTCCTTGTCGCCGGTTGGCAAGCAAAGGAGGATCTTCAAGGCGACGGCTGCACACGACGCATATGTTGACGGAAGTTGTGCAAAAGTTGACGGGGGCATTGAAGTTAAGGACCTGCCACACATTGATGTGATTCCATTTGCGCCTTTGCCACACTTTAAACGTTAGTGTTTCGCCAAGAGTTTGTTTGGTAGTTGGTTTTCTTGATTTCCTTTTAAGTTTTATTTTAGTGGCACTTAAAGCATTTCAATTAGGCTAAGCACGGAAACACGACTACCACAATCGCCACTTCCGGCGGATGCACGTATATAAAAACCACGTGTCAGAAAAACAGCAAGTGAAATAAGGAAAGGAAAGAAATCTCCGCATATCAAATGAAGAGAAGAACAAACGTTTCGTGCATATTTCGAGCACATTAAACATTTATTTTTATTTTATTTTTTCTGTTTTGCCATGCGTCTCAGCAAGCAATCTGCAGTTGGAGTGGAATATTTACATTTGTATTCGGCTCTGTATTCTCTTTTTTATGTCTGGACTTTGCTTTTTGTATGCTCCTTGCCTTGGAATTTAGATACCCTACAATTTTTAGGGAGTTCTTTGATATTTATATAGAAAGAAAAAATAGGTTTGTATGCCCAAAAATCATTAATGCCTCTCTCTGTTAACTCTCTCTGTTAGCAATATCTCTTAAATTTTACCCATTTAATATCCAAAAGGGTATAAAAAGCCTTAATTATTTACGAAACCAACTGCCAGCGTTTCTAGTTTTTATCTGTACTTGCATGGCCGCTTCTCATGCAACATTTATGAGCATTTTGGGGCACAACTGGCAGTAGTTTCTATGAATTTTGAGAACGCCGAAATGTGTGCAACGCTTTTAGCTTAACATTTTCCATGGGATGCTTGTCTAAAAGGCTAAGCGCAGAAGCCATTTGGATGCTAAGTTCCCCAGAAGTTGACCTTTAAGGCAGTTAATAGAATGAGGGAATCCTTTCTTTTTTTTTTGCCCCAAACTTGGGTCAATTAACTCATTAAACTCTGCAGTGTTTTGCCACGCTCAGGTCTAATTAGCGAACAATTAGGCCGTCTATGCAACCGAAATTTCTATTAATTATAAATGTAATTGGGTGAAGTGAAAAGGTGTGAGCAAAAGGACTTTTATTAAATGCGACTCTATTTAAGGCCTGTTAGAATATTCAGAGCAGAAAAGCCATGATAAACCTACAGCATATTTCCTCTATCCTGTCAGCTTCATAAAATGTTGGTTTTGATAGAAAGTTTCGGCCATGAAACTTTTTGTTCGCAGATTATCGTAAAAGATTTTTGAGTTCCGTGCCGCTATATTGTTGGCTTGCCAAACTGTTGCATACTTTTAGGAAAGTTATGAAGAGCTGAACATGTGTTTGCTGTGTCAACTTTTACCCTCAACTTTTTCCATATTTGTAGCCATAACAGCTCCATACATACATACATATCTTCCAAAGAAAATTTCTTTGGCATTTTCTTTTTTAAAGAACCCGCACATCAAAGGACGAACCACCACAATGCTAAATCCCCGAAAAATGAAAAGAAAAACGGCAATAAAGTACACCGAAGTAAATAGACCATTTATTTAGATGCTCAGATTTTTATGTTCATACAGAGAATTAATCCATTTGCACATTGAGTTACATTCAACAGCTACAGTTGGAGTACATAGCGGAAATGGGGTTTCATCTTTTTTGATTCAATGGGATGGGGGCTTTCAGCGATTCACATAGACGACATCTAACAGTTTAAAACGATTGACCTAACTTAAGTTTGCTTGCTTTCTGGCTCCGCTTGGTACTTGGTTTCTTCCTTTCATCGTACTCCTCACTAAAATATCTAGTATTAGCTAACTAATCGCACTCGCAGATCTCCGACACGGAAGTGGAATTCAATGAAAGTTTCAGTCTCTTAAGATGCAGTTTGCTAAGGATTTGTCCTACACCGAGTTCTCCTCGAGTCCTTGCTGGAATTTCAGAAACGATTAGTCAAAGGCTGGACTTTGGCCCATTCCGCCTATCTCACCCTCATCAGAGGACTAATGGCCCGGGGCATTACGCTCAGAGTGCTGCCGGAACTCATGGCATTTCCCGCCAAAGTGGGCATCGTGTGCAGGGCATTATTAGATCCCCGGTGGAGCGAAAGTGGTGCATGCTGACCCACTAGTGTGGTGGTGGTGGCCGAACTCACGCAGGACTCTCGCTTTCCGCGTCCATAGTAGCTGGTCAGGGGTCTGCAACGGTGGTCAGGTCAAGATATCCCGTCACTTCTTAGCCACAATTATCACATAACTTACCGCATGCTCTCGGCCCGAGGGGAACCACCGCCTTTCGTGAAACTTTTCGTCGTGTAGCTGTCAAGTTAAAGGAAAGTGCAGAGAGAAAAAAATATATAACTTTGTTATTAGCAATTGGTAAAAGCAGTAAACAACATTCAAAATCAACAACTCTTTCATTTTGTTTTAAAAAAGATGTAAGCTTCTTAAAAAACACTTTTCCACTTATTTTAAGTTTTTATAACCAGTGTACTTAGTAACAAACTTATAAGTTTGAACTACTTACCGGCGGTTCTGGTTCAGCTGGATGGTTCGCGTGTCCCGCCACGTGGAAATGTGGTGTCTCAAAGCATTTCGCACCTCCGAGTTTAGGAAGCAGTAGAACAGCGACACCGAGAAGCCCTGTGACACACACATTTCTTTAAAAAAAAAGGAAAACCACTTGGCTTAGGTAGACAAAACCCACCTGAGTGCTGAGTAAAACCGCTCGCAGTACGGCAAACATGTGACCCATTAAGCCGGATTCTGATGGGCCAGCGAGCACCACCAAGTAGGTGATACCAAAAAGGGGGATGAGCACCAGCAAGGCCTTAGCTGCTTTCCTGTACTGACGAGTCTCCACTGTATTGGCCGAGCGCAGCTTTGTGATAAGAACCTGAAAGAAAGGCAACCTGATAATCTAGCTAGCTATTTTTGGCAAGTTACACTGGAAAAAATGGTCTCTGGTTAACTTTGCGTTTTAAAAAAGAAAAACTTTTAATAATTTTGTAAATTTTTTTAAAAGATTTTGGTCTTTTTAGCAAATTTAACCATGGGACTTTGGTTTTTGGAACCTTCTAGGAAGACATATTTAACTTTAGCTAGTTTTTTTCAGTGTAACTCCATACTCACCCACATGATGCGAAGCAGGAAGGTGAGATTGATGATTAGTACCGCACAGACAGGTCCTTGGTATATCCAATCCACATGGGTCTCCTGCATCCAGGGACAGTTGATTTCATACTGCCCAAAAAGGAAACAGAAAGAAGAGTAGACTCTATTAGCAGTTCCCTTCGTAATCTCAAAGCACACTTACCTTTTCGGGAGTACTGTAGGTGACCGTCAGACTTTTTGCCACCGCCCATGTGACAACAAACAAGGCCGGACCACCTGTGTCAGCAGGGGTTAAACTTAATTGTTTGGCAAACTTCCAGGCATCCAAACTTACCCCAGCCTATAGAAGCGTAGATATTGAAGCGCAGATTGTCCCCCGAGAAGGTCTTCACCACCAGCATATAAAGATACAAACCCTCGACCAGCATCCAAAAGAAATTGGTCAAGGTGAAAAAGTGAAAGAGGGTGATCAAGGCAATGCAGCTGCCCACGCCACTTCGGATAGAGATCTAAAGATGAAAGGGCAAGCTCTATATTTAATAACCTTCATTTTTAGCCTGTCAGGGAATGCTTTTAGCTTGCTATTAATATAGAAGCTGCACCTTTGTAGACCAAGTATGATTTAACAGCACTGCAATTGCAATTATCTCGTGGACATAATACTCACCTGGACGGATAACAAGAGTATCCAGAACAAAGCCGACATGATGTACGTGAAGAACAAGTTGGCGTGAATGGTGTTGCGCAGGCAACGCAGCTCCCTGCGGCGAATAAGACAAAGGAGAGGGGCTGTTAAGGGGGGGTTAGGTAAAAATAAATGCCAGGCAAGGATATATATACGATATATATATATGTACTAGCATAGGGTCACCAGGGGGTCGACTCACTTGAAGTAGGCGAAAACAATCAGCGCCAGCGAGAGCGATACCAGGCTGATGGTATATCCGATGTAGTAGATAATGGTGGGCAGCTCCACGATGACCTCGAACTCCGGCACCGACTCGGGCGCGGGCAGGTGGGCGCAGGCATCGTAGTTTGTGTACTTCTCCCAGGTCCCATTGGCATGGCAGAACCTCGTTGCATTCTCTGGACAAATTCGAAAAGGCACGCAAGGAAAATGTAAACAATTTTATAAATAGACTGAGTTCCTTTGCTTTCTTGTCCTAATCAAAATGGTATTTTTCGAGTTGACTTAATGTCTGGTTTTTAACTTCTTTAAGCATAACAAAGAATGAAACTTCATTAAAAGGTTGTGATCTTTTAAGGTGAGATAGTATAAAGTCATAATTTCTTTACTGTTCTCTCATCCAAACTTACTAGTGCTATCATAATGTATCCCCTGCAGCTCGTCCATGCACTGGAGCACCGCCAGGGTTCCGCGGGCTGTTCTCGGCCAGCATAGAATCGAGTCGAACTGGGTGAGGCAGTGGTCACTGGCGTTGCCATAGGTCGAGGCCTCGATGTGTTCCTGCACCAGACACTGCAGCTCTACGCTCTCGCCGATGCCTTCTAGGTTGTGCAGCTCCAGGAGCGGATCACTCCCGCTGGCATTCACCGATTCGATGTGGTCGTGGTCACTCATTCTATAACATCCTGGCACTCAACTGGTGTGGTACTATAATAGGTTAGTTTAAAGTTTTATTTTCAAAGAAAGGTAAAATTAAGATGATATTTAAGCTTAAGTAAGTAAGCTTAAGAATTCTAGATTTAAAGATTAAAGTAAAATAATGTTTATTGTATAAAACCTAAATGTCCTTCCAAGAGTTAGTTTTCCACTATCATATGTGTTATGATAAATAAGACGTTTCCTAACTACTTTCCTCCGATTTAACAAAGTTCAAATCTCTCCCTTGCTGAATTCGTTCAATCAGAAAGTTATAATTCCCACAATTGTTAGGGGATTCCCCGGCGGTTGGCTGAAACCAAGAGCTGTCAGGCAATGTTCAATTGCCAACCCTTCATCCTCAACCCGCTCCACCGCATCCGCGTCCACGGCCTGTGGCTTTTGGCCTGTATGTGTTAATTGCATTGGCCATGTTTCACCGACTCTGGGCAACGCCCACATCGTGGCTGGCTTAAAGAGCCATCAATTCTGCGTGAAGGGAAGTTAGCTTTAAGTCGAATACCAAGTCCAATGGTCCAATGGCATAGGCAGAGGCATAGGCAGAGGCACAAGCCCAGTGCCATAAAAATTCATTAGTTTTGCCATCAAAGGCGGACGGGAGCGTCAGCAGATCGGAGGTCCTGTTATTCGGTACTGATATGTGCCCATAAAAAGCAAGTCAAAAAGGGTCCGGAAGTCAAGGTTGATGGTGATAGAAATTAGAAACGCTAACTTCCTGCCAAAGATGGGGGCCCTGGGCTGCCAAGTTTGAGGTTTGCTGTGCCTCAGAGCTAAAATCTCGCATTTATGTTCTGATAATAAATGGCATAAATGATGCATCGTTACATTAATGCAAAACATAAAACAGGGCGGCAAATAAGACACATACATACGCTATATATATATATATTTATATTAAATATGTAGATGGGTCTGTTCACAGTGAGCTATAAAAGTTGTCTGAACGCTCTAAAATCAAAGCGGAAGTGGTTAGCACTTTCTACTTATCTTTTGGCAAGTTTTAAGCTAACAAGAAACCGCTTTATTCCCAGGGGAAAAACCTTCACTGGAATCCACATTCATTTCAGATGAAAATGCTTATCTTTTAAGTGCCACCCAAAACCAAAAGCCAATTACTTTCTGTGGAATTTCCGATTTACTCGGACAGAACATTCCCGAGGCGATTTTCTAATTGGCCCAGGAATTTCTAGCCACAACCCATGAAATATTAAACCTGCAGGCAAATTGAAAATTCCGCCCAAAGGCTTTGGTTGGTGCTCTACTTTTAGCTCCCACTGTCTCCGGCGCCTTTCCATTTTCCTGGCTCATTGTTTCTCCTTTTTGTTTTTCTCGTAAATTAACGCAATGTACGTTTGTACATAAAACAAAAGGCTGGTTGATTATTACTGCACAGCACATGCCTGCACGTCTTTTCCGGAGTTTGCCAGGGTCCTGGTTCCTTGTTCATTAGCCGGTCGGTTACTTATAACACATACGCCCCGTTGCCTTCATTCCATTTCCCAAGCCTTGCACGCTTACAGCACAGATGAGTTAAGACAGCAATATTTACAAGCCGCAATTTAAAGTTAAAAATATTTGAAAAGGGAAAAAAATGGCAGAGGAGCGCCTCTAATTACCTCATAAATAACGTCGGGCGAAAAATTAGCTGGCCTAAATTATGGCCATAACAGCTAATTGCATATTTGATTTCAATGAAATCAGAAGTAGACATGACCAAAGCCCAAAACACCCAAGAGGAACACATACATTTGAAATCAGCGTGTGGATGCAAATTCATTCTGACAGCTACAGCCTGGCAACGGGCAAATCTCATTTATGACCAGTCAATTTGACGAATGTCCGCCCGGCGGGAAAACAAGGCAAAACAAATTCAGCCTGGTCGAATCAACGGCGGCATAAAAAGGACATTACCAGAAATAACCGAAGGCATAAGAAATGGGTCTGTTTGGGATGTGAGCTGGACAAATCGCACATCGTTCTTTCTGCTCCTCTGCCTCCTCTGCCCCCTCTTTGCCTCTTTGCACATGCTATTATAGAAGATTGTATCTAATCTCGTACGATTGCACACAATGGATTTGCCAAAGGCGACACAACAAAAAAAAAGGGGATTGCTTGTGGGTTTCTCCGTCTTTTTTTTTTCATTTTTTTTCTCGCCCATGCGAGAGTTTCTGCAATTTCCGGCTGCTATAATGCTTATAAATGTTTGCTCGCAATTGCCGGGGATTTCTTAAGGGGATTGAAAATATAATAATAGTGGCAAGCTTTCGCCGTTCGCACTTATACAACAAAATATGCAGACAAAAAATTAAATTATTTTGCAAGCCATTGAAGGCTGTTTCTTTTTATCCAACTTTCCACTTTCACCTTTAAACAAAACGCTACATCATTGCACGGGACATCGGCGGGATGGAAAAGTGCTATTTCGGTTCTCATTAATGTAGCTCATTAAATTTTATATGCATAAGCTGCCATAGCAGCAGTGGTAAAAAACGTAGCATTTAAAATTTATAAACATGCCACACAAGAGACCAGCAGCAGCAGCAGTAGCAGCAACAGCAGCAGCAGCAGTAGCAGCAACAGCATATTACGTATACGCCACATGGACAAAGGCAGCCTGAAAAGCCAGCACGCAGGCATAAGCGTATAGAAAGTTTGTAATTAAATTGCTCATTTAAGCATGGAAACAATGTATGCGATCGGGAATACAGAGGGGAAATATAAATATATAATATTCAGCATATAACCCAGAGAAAATATATTGCTAATTTTATTCATCCTCCTTGGGCGCTTAAATTTTATTGTTCTGGATTTTGTGTAGTTTCCTTGGAGGCCGATAAGGAAAAGCCAGTCTAGACAAGCCAACATCATAATTTGCAGGCACGCACTGCCATTTCCATTTCCGCTTGAGCCAGATCTGCTGGCCACTTCGAAAGCTTAAGTCAGCACATATCCTTTGAAAGGTTGGGTACTGTGGAAGGGGCCGGACACTCCAGCGATTGCCAACAAGTGTGGCGTTTTATTGTCTGGACTTTAACGGCTCTCCTTAGCCATTGTATGTGGCACGTGCAGGCGCCTGCATTTGTAGCTACGTGAGGGATCTCTCACCAACTCCGTCGGATAGTCCTAAGCATAAACCCATAAAAATCTGCTACAAAAGGAACGGGAACCTGGTCTCCAAATCTGTTATTTATTGGTTCCAATAAAAATTTGGTTTAATGCATTACAAGTTGCCGAAATGCCAGGGAGATTTGCTGTCGGAGATTTACTCAGCTCGCAGCGGAAGTCCATAAAGCTAGGGCAACAAGTCTTTCCTGGTTATCACTTGGTAAAGTGCTGGATTGGATGGGGGTTTTTGATTTCTGATTTCTGGTTGGAATTTTTACCCCAATCGATACAGCAAACACGCAAAACAATGCCTCTGAAGCCCTGGCTAAAACCCCATCTTCTCGCACCCGTTCAGCCGCAGAAATTTCGCTTTTGTAAGCGGTTGCATTGTTTTCAGCAGGTGGGCGTGTGTGTGTATGCACTGGCATTTTAATTAACCACAATTTGTTTCCCTTACCCAACCGCCCGGGAAAATTGCCTACCTTCTACTCTAACACCGTCCGTATCTGCAGAATGAGGATTCCCTTTCTCCAGTTCAGCAATTTTTCTTGATATCCTTGGGATTTCTTGTGTGTGTTTAACACATTTGCACTGGGGACTTTTCAAGTGACCACCGAAGCCACAGGAGGCGGGTCCTTTGTCCTTTCGACCACTTACTTGACCCGGCTTAAATGCGTTTAACGCCTTCTAAGCTGCGAAATGATTATGTTTAAGCTGTTTCTGCCGGAGTGGGCGTTGCGGCTAGTTGCCTTGGTTATTGACACACCCCCACGCACTGGGGCCCAAAACTTTATTGTGTTCACATTTATATGCAGGATTATTTATTATGGCCACATTTGAACCCTAAACAAAACTCTAAGGGCCATTGCCTTTGCTAAGTTATGCGTAATAGATGAGGTAATTATTTTCTTATTCCTTTTCTTGCTAATTAAAATTTACATTTTCCACTTGCACATTATTCAAAAATTTGTTTCCACTTTAACGGTTTCGAAGGAGGCCCCTTGAATTCGAGACAGTTTTGAAATTCCGAAAAGAACCGCACTCGTTCACATTCCGCTGATAACTGAAGTTACGGCCGAAGGATGTGTCTTAACAAGCCTCGCCTTCTTACCAAAAGGCGCCAATTTTGGGTTCCACAAGGGGAAAGCTCGCCAAAGCTGCATTCCACAAGCTGTTGCCAAAGCTTTTCGCCGGGCAACAGGTGGAAAACCGTAGGGGGAAAGGGGGTAAAAGGACCCCAAACAGGAAACCGATTCGATTGCAGTTCTAATGCCTGAAAATCTGCCTATTTGATTTATGCAAATATGTGCTGGGCCCGATGTTTGCCCAGCATTTCGCTGGCTGTTTGTTTAGGGTATACGGAAAAGGGATACTCCTGATTTTGTAACAATATATATATATATAGAATATATATACAGATTGAAAACTCCATGCTGGTCCTTTGAAGTCGCAGGCTGAATTTAATTGTGAGTTGTGAAATGCGCACGAAGACACCTCTTACGTGGCCTAATCAAATTAAACTCAAGTGGCAGACCCCCGAGACTGACAGTTATTGAAATATCAATATAGCTAGGCCTCCCGGCAAATCAGTTCCCGGAAAATGTGTGAAATTAAATTGTAGAGAAAACAAAGGCAACATTTTTATTTACAAGCCAGCTTTTTGCTTGCCCGTCTGCTAAATTTTTATATTACAATGATAAACATTTAGACGGATGTCCTGGGTCTGCTACGGGCCTCGGAATGCGTGTGACACATGAGGGTTGGCTTGGTGGGTTGGGCTGGGGTTTTAGATGGGGGAGGGAGTTTATGGGGATGTCGACATCCTTATCCAAACTGTTTGATTTTCAAACAAATGCTAATGTCAACTGCCACTCAGAAGCATTTAAATTCCAATTTAAAAATGCTTTCTCTCCATGCCAAAAGCAAAGACATGTTCGTTGTCCCCGGCTTGTGTTCCTCCCACATGCTTCCATCTCTCTGTTTCTCCGATTCTCTGTGTATCTCTACTGACCCGGTATTCTCCAGTTCTCCAGCAGGCATTAAAGCGTTCGTTCTGTCTCATGCATATTTAATGTCACACGCATTTCAAGCAGCTTGTTTTTTTTTTCTTTGCAGAGATTTTTCTCCTCTCATATATGCTTCTCACACTTTCCACCTGAAAAGTTTTTTAATTCATTTGCGGATAACCAATCGGGAAATTCATTGAATGCATCACCTGTGTTGCAATTTGCAGCCATTGTCTGTGATGTGGCATAGAACATTGGGTTTGGTTTTTCAATTAACAAGATAGGCCAAAAGGAAATGGGAAAACTAAAATCAATCAGAGTGCAAAACTTTGATAAGCTTGTTTTAATTCATCGGGGATTATGTAGTTACCTAACTTCCATTTAAATAATGTACTCTCTCGCGGCATTTAAGCTCGCATTAAGCACAAAGGAACTCCGATGAAATCGTTTTATGCCCAAAAAGCCATCAGCTTAGTGGTTAGGAACATAAGGAGGAAATCACTGAGCAGAAGACACAACAAGCCCACAAAAGAGAAGCACGCACACACAGACACTGAGAAAAATCAATCATTGACTTCTCTTTGGAAAAAGTAAGGTAATGCTATATGATTTCTGGATAAAAAATCTACTCTGGTTGGTAACATAAATAGATCTTGTAAAGTAATATATTTATAAAAATAAAATCATAACCCATTTCATAGCAATTTCTCTCAGTGTAGCCACACATGACAGCTGGTGGTGTGAGCACTCAACAATTACTTAGCTGGCATCTTCAACACTTCGGTGGCCATAGGGGGTCTCGTCTTTCAGCATTCTCATTAATTACACGCCGCACTAATTAGGATGTAACGGAATAGCGAAAGGATTATCCGCATCCTCACCTGGATGGATGTGAGTCACCCGAACTTTAGCCCCGCTTTAATCTCTCATCCATATTATTTTTGCCCAATTTGCGTCAGCTTCTGGTATTTCCCCAAACAAAAATTCTTGTCACGCACGAGCGCTGTCCAAATAAAATCGAGTGGAATCGAGTCCAGTCATCAGTCAGTCAACCTTTGTGAGTAACTGATGTTTGGCTCTCAGCCTTCGGCAGATGCATTGAACCAACAAACAATGGTAAACGACCCGACTTCATTACTCGATCCATTAAAAGCCGTCCAAATTTGGCTATATAAAGCGACGGGCTGACGGCCAGAAAAATTTTATTCATTTTGCGGCACCACAGCGGACATTAATCACTATATTAAAAACATGCAAAAATCTATAATTTATTTTGGTTTTTTCCTCGTTTTGCTGGAGTGTTCACAGGCGGCATTTAACTGCTCGCAACCCCCGAACTTTAATAATTTCGTAAGTGAAAATAATAGTTAAGAAAGTCTTCCTGAAAAATAATAAATCATTCCTTTAGGACATTAACACTTGCTGTCGCACTCCCGAATTGGACATGGGAGATGTGCCCCAGAAGTGCCACAAATATGTGAGTGGCTTGAAGTCAGCAAACTCGAAATACCCCAGTTTTGCTCACCTGGTAAGTAGTTATATTTTGTAAAGGAAACCCATCCCTTTAAGTTCTTTCACTATTTCAGTGCTATCCTGATTGCATCTATCGGGAAACGGGTGCTATGGTCAATGGACATATTAAAATGGAGAGGGTTAAGCAATATCTAGAACAGCATGTTCATCGACGAGATCAGGATATTGTTTCCCGTATAGTCCACTCATTTGAGTCCTGTCTGACCAACGGTGCGTATGATTATTCTTAGGCAGTTTCATAAATTAAAGTTTCATTATTTTCACACAGTTAAGGGCCACATGGACTCAATGAACATTGAGTCCTATAAGGTCCTTCCCCATGGCTGTTCACCTTTTGCCGGAATAATATATAGCTGTGTAAATGCCGAGACTTTCCTCAATTGCCCATCGAAAATGTGGAAAAACGAGAGACCCTGTAACTTGGCCAAGGAATTCGCTGAACAATGTAATCCCCTGCCCCATGTACCACTGCCCAGCAGCTGATGCTCTATATAGATTCCATCTTTGTAACATGTAAACAAACATTTAAAGTAAAAGTTTCGTCCATTAAGTTTAATCTGTTGCCTGTTTTTTAAATGCCATTAATATCCGACCTCGGTGTGTTGACCATTAACCAGCAAATTGACCATGACAACGGACTACGAGTACTTTCCGTCTGCTCCCATTGGACTTTATGATCAGTCAAAGTTCGATGTTCGATTGAGGAACAGTTGTCGATTAACCAGCAGCCATGAACCAGTTAACCTTTGTCGGCTGCCTTTTGCTCTGGTCAGGAGCTCAGGCTGCCTTCCAGGACTTTGTGATAGGACCTGAGGTAAATTATAAGAGAAATATTATAAAATAATAGAAATAAGGTAAATAACCAATGCTAATTTAGTCATATGATGATGATAACGAGTTGGCTCCGTTCGGAGAAGAATATCCAGAAGAGGAGATGGATGAGGACATCATGGTCTCCTTCCAAGATGTTGAACATGATGGTGTTGTGGACACCAATCTCCTCATGAAAGCTCTAATACAGCATGCCAAACGCTTGGGTTTGAGTTTGGAAGAACTTGGTAAGCCAGAAATTATATAAAACCGAAATTTATACTTTTACATCGACTTTATTTGATAGCCAACCTAAATCTGGAGTCAGAAGAAGAAGAATCCATGAACCAACTTGGCTGCCCATCTGGGCAAAGCGTCCTTCGATACGAAGAAAAGCCCACCTGGCGGGATGTACTCTTTAACTAAGCTAAATAAATATCATCACACAGTGATCAAAGCAGCTGAAAATATGTGATTTATTTCATTTAAATTTCGCTAACCATTTAGTTAATCATCGCAGCGTATGCTATATTCCCTGGCCTCATTACAGCCGGGACTGTTGCTCCAGACACTCTCCGGGCAGTTGCGATAGAAATAACGGTGGGCACACAGGCCGTACATCAGGGCCATGGAGCCGCACTTTCCAGTGATGGGCATACGTCGGCGTTTTAGGGTCTTAATCATTACCTTCTCCTGAGCAGAACAGCTCTTAAAGCCATCTACATAGACCTGGAGAAATTCATCAGAGCCCAAAATGGTTTTCATCATCTTTTCAATGTTTTCCATTACCAAACTTGTGCCGTTCATAGCATTGGCAGCTTGGAAAATGCACTCAAAGCTGCACTGTAAAATGAGGTTAACAAAGTTTAATAATCTTAAGAAGATTCATTCGACTTACGGGTGATATATGAGCCCCATTTACTAAGTACTGACTGCATTTCGAATTGTAAGTTTTAAAGTCCAAATTCGGCAGCTTGCAACAGTTTTTTAAGGTCTAAAAGGTAAAGGTATTAGTTATCCCAACTTCTTTATTAAAAAATTACTCACTGTTACATCCGGCCTTTGAGCGCAAGAGATATCTGCAGCTCGATAGGCTGGTAAAAATATTAGAGCCCAAGTCAGCAGGTGAAGCATTTCGAGATACTTCTGCTGATTTCCGAGTTACCTAATTCTATATATATACCACCCAAACCGGATACCCTAACTACTTTCGCTTTGGCCCATTTACTTAATATATAACCATTTAATGTTCATTTCATATTTTATTACCGCTCTCAACTTATTGACTACTAGTACCACGTGATGATCTCGCACTCGTACAGTTCATGTTCTGCAATCGTGCCAAGTTGCATAACTCAGTGCTGGACCAACTGGATGAGGGGCAGTGGTTGAAGACGTATTTCTGGGCACAAACTCCATAGAAGAGGGCAGTTGGAGAGCACTGTGAGGTTTTATTTTTAGAACGAGGTCTCCTATTGCTTATCATATCTTGTACAGTTTCTGTACAACTCATTATGCCGTTGAAGTAGGCATCTATGAAGTCCGGATTACTACCGAAAAGTTTTTCCAGCATGAGTTGGAGATTGTCAGGATCAATGGCACCGTCCACCATGCTGTTGGTCGTATTAAATATGCATTCATAGAGGCACTATAAAAATGGTTATGTTATAAAATTATCAGACTATAAGGATACCTAAAACTTACGGGTGATATTCTGGGAGCACCAACTGGCATATATTTGCCGCATTCTTTTTTAAATTGTTCAAATCTAAAAGTCGGATAGGCACAGCAATCCTTTACAGTCTGTGAACGCACGATATCCATATATTGATCTGATTGATATGGCCTATAAGGTAATACTCACATTGAAATCCTGACGACGAGTACAGTCTACATCAGTGGGATTACTCCTAACCAGTACCACCGAACAGCAGATCAGCAGAGCTATATTCCAGGCCATTATTTCAGTCAGTCTGAGCTTCGCATCGCTCTAACCGCTTAATTTATAACTCGGTCTTCCACTAATTAATCGAGCACAACGAAAACATTTTAAACGATGGTCTCGTGAGGCAAAATGAGCAGTCATCGTGATCTGATGGTGGATTTATAGTGGTCCAAAGTTCAAAAATATTCGCAATTGGGGGCTCGTCTATAACCAGACAAATGCAATTAAACTGTCTGAATTGGATCAGCTTAAATGCAACCGATTAGGAACTTGAAAAACAGACAAATAATAAGCGATAATCCCCAGTAGTTAACCAGTTAGGACAACTGGACAGATTCTAATCTGACAAGAGCCTTGAGATTATGATGGTTAAAATGCTAGACACTACCAGTTGGAATCCCTCGGAATCTAAGTTACAGCCACTTTGCTTAGCCATCTCCCTTGCCTCCATATCATCTGTCTTTTCATCCAACTTTTTCGTGCAGGTGGACAAAGTTTTTTTAAGACTGTCGCAGTCTTCATCTCCCCTCCAGTTTTCGGGAGGACAATCGGCGGTTAGGTACACCGTGGTGCACTGGGCATGTAGCATCGCATATGGTAAGCAAGTGGAGGAGTCCATTCCTATTTCCTCCGTCAACTGATTGGAGTAGAGCAACAGAAAGTCGGCGTGTCTTGAGCCCAAGGCCTCACAGGTCTCATGGGCTGCCTTCAAGGCAGTTCCATATTTATCGTAACCATTCAGGGGACTGTACAGGGTTGTGATCATCAGATAAAGTTCTGGTTTCCTAATCTTGTTTTCCTTATCAAGAATATTCCAATGGTTATACAGGCACTCATAGCGGCACTTTGAATGTATCCTTCAGGAGATTATTTAACATATATGCAACCGAATTACTCACAGGACCATAATTATCCCAATAGGGTGTACAATTGCTGCCAATGAACAGAAACTTATCGAGAAAGGACTTTCCGCAACAGGAAACCAACTTTTGGGTGTTCAGCAGGTCCGTACATTGTTGCAATCCCGACTTATCGTTGGTGGCACTGCAAACAATCAACGGCAGCCACAAGAACTTCACCAACTGCAGTACAACAGAAGACATTTTAAGGATGCCGCGTTATGAACCCTACATAAATTAAACAAAAAATTTGGAAAATATAAAAATATTTACTTTTCTGACTAAAAAATGATGTAAAATACAAAGCCAATCCCTAGCAGCATCAAGGGGTTAATATATGGTTGGGTGATCTTTTCTAGTCATCTCTCTGCTGGCCACACGCAAACATATTTTTACACATTTAGCAGATTCATTCATTAGGCTCTCGAAGCTGTAGCTATGCGGACAGGGCGTATACTTGTTGCCTTGATATTTCTTGGTTTGGTAGATCCTTTTTATTCAGCCAAGTGCAAGGCAGCTCCCAAATCAGTTCAGGTATATTATGGTTTTAATCTATATACTCATTTGAAGACATTTTACATTATTTTTCAACAGAATGTCCACGTTTGCTGTCCAGCACCCATGCCAAATTGGGGAGTTTATAATAGCGAGTGTAATAAATCGGGACCTCAGGCCAGTGTAAGTACTAAAAGTATATCCTTGAGTCAAGTTAATTTACTGGATTCCCTCGTTAAGTGCCGTTTGGCTTGCATCTTTAATGTCAGCTCAGTTCTGCAGGGAAATCGATTGATTCAAGGCAAAGTCCGACCCATGCTAGAGCGGGCTTTTTCCAATGAACCCACCATCGATGCATATGAAACCAACTTCGCCAGATGTTCTTCGGTGGTGAAGAGCAAATACCAGGAGCTATCTCCATTGAGTCGTCAGAGTGACGCCTGTGACAGACACGCCCTCTTCTATAGCCTTTGTGCATATGCCCGCTTGATATTCACCTGTCCGGATAAAATGTGGCAACGGAATAATAGAATGTGCCAGGAGGCTAAAAGCTATGCTAAGAGTTGTCCATGGCCAGCATTAAAAATGTTCATGAAAAACACATAACATTACTGTGGATAAATACGATTGTTATGAATAATATTTAGTGGGTTTTGGTTTTATTTTTAATGAGGTTGCGTGATCATGTCGAGAACACTGTGATGACATTGCAAGTGATAGCCCCCGCACTTCCCATTCCGCCCATCCAATTCGGCGATGTAGTAACGCTTTGGCAGAGCCTCATATCGTGAGGTACTTGGACTGAACATTATATGAACTAAACTGCCAAGAACTCCATTAAGATCTCCCAATTGGTAGTCATTTGCTTCACAAATCAGTCTTAATAAGCAGCTATCACCTGAGCCTAACCCATGCCTGGAAAATGTAATAAAAGTTGTGATTTGTAAGGCCCATAATTAAGGGAAAACTTACAATTCAAAGCGATGATTGATTATATCATAGAATTTGGAACGTGAGAGTAGCGATCTTCTTGCACGACCTCTGGGCACAGGCTCACCCATGCCATCTAGGGGAAATCCCTGAAAGAAATCCTTGTAGTCATTGTCCTCCTCTTCTGGTGGTGGCTTTGGCTTTGGCTTATGTTTTTTTTTGTGCTTATGTTTGGGCTTGTTTTTTGTTGGCTTATTGCCAGCTCCAGGTTTGGGTTTAGTCTTCTTTTTCTTCTTATTATGATGATGTTTGTGCTTGTGCCCAGAATGTTGGTCATCATCATAGTAGTCCTCGTACATAAAATCATGAAACTGTTGGTGTCCATGGTGATGGCTCATAATGCTATCATTATCTGTGCCATTCCCATGTCGCTAAAAAGAGATTTCATGATCAGAATTTGAATCATAGTTTTCTTCTAAGTTCTTACCAAAAATGGCGGCTTCTTTTTCCAAGTTCTGGGCAAGTCATAAGACACTTCAAAATTGTAGGACAAAAACGTTTTTTCTCTCTGTAAATCCAAGGGCAAGGCAAGGGCCACAAAAAGCTGACAAGGGCATATAAGATAAATTAGAAAATATTCTTTAGGCCTGATAAAAATCGTATCCCAAAACTTACTGAAGATGCTCCTCCCGTACTCCAAACGAACTTTGCCTGTGAAGCCTGGAAAAAGTGAAAAGTCAACAGGATAAGGAGGGTTCTATAACCATCCATTGTATCCAAAATTCATCATTCAACTAAACTCTTAGTCTCGAGAAGCCAAAGTGAAAACCTATTCTTTCAATCTAGAAGTGACTGAGCAATTAATAATTTCTAGTTTCTAGCAGCGAAAGTTGCTAATTGAAAAGCCAGTAACACAAATTGGGTCGAACGGTAGGTTCTTCTCAAGCCAAAGATTTATGAATGTATGTTTGATCTATATTTTATTGAGTTCAATGTGGTTTAGAATCTCTTCGAAAGGTTGTGAAATCAAATCCAGAATACTTTCGCCACAGCCTGGTTCATAGAAATGGCAATGGCCATTCCAGCCATCGTGTTCCGCTTGGTAGTATCTCAGGGGTAGATCTTCTGACTCGGAAGTGCTGGGACTTAAATGGTAAAATATATATTATATTTGGTTTAACTAAGTTATGTTGATAATACCTGAATAAGACATGCATTACACTGCCCAACACGCCATTGAATTCATCTAATTGAGCAGCACTTGTCTCACAAATCAGGCGAAGTAAACAAGTTTCTCCCTGGAAACCACTTCTAAAATATTAAATTTAGTATAGGAACTAAAGAGTTTAACTTATATTAGCTCACCTTCTTAGTTTGTCTATGAAAATATGATAGATATTTGAGCGTGTAAGCAGGGATCTAACTTTACGTTCTTTCGAAAGCATTTCAGTAGTGCCCTCCACTTCATCCTGCTCTTCACCTCCCCCATCCTCACTCTCGTCCACTGTGCAATTTTTGCAACCACTGGCCAACTTTCGAGATGACTCCGAAGCTGTGTCTGTATCCGAACTATCCACCACTTCCACCGACTCTATGGGACCGTTTTGCTGGAATTAGAACCATGCATAAGTAAATAATCGAACAAAAGTGTCATTCTGGTTGAACTGTTAATTGTGCCACAAAAAGAGTGTTAATTGTCAACAAATGTGGCGTTTTATAGCCGCAAACAAACCGAAAATGAAACTTACAAATATTGTCCATTTCTCCCATTTGTCGGGTAAATTGTAGTTGGCCTCAAAATTGTACGAAACAAACACATTTCGATGGGGCAACTCGAGCGGAACAGCAATTGCGGCAAAGATCTAAAGTTGCGATGTTTTAGTACTCTTTTGGTATATTCTACTTTTTTCTATAACTTACACCATGGGTACTGGCTGTTGTAAAGGCCACAAAGGAGTTGCTTAAATCAAGGTAAACTGTTATAAGGAAAACCAGGCCAAGAAAGTAACTAGGGAGATTCATTTTCTCAAACCACAGACGCACGTTAGACCACCACGATGTTCAGACCGAAACTGAATTACAATTGGAGTCGGGCACTCGCAACAAGTGCGTGGCAAGTGACTGCTAATTAGATATGTAAACACCCCCAAGAAAGATACTTTATGGTTCTTGGCAGTACTCTAGTTTTTTTTTTCATCTTCTTCGTCGACTTATAATATTGCTTAAGGCCTGCTCCAGTGGCACAGAAATCAGATCCAAAATATTTTCTTTACAGCTATTTGTGTAAGCGGAGCACTCCTGATGCTCCCGACCATCCCACTCGGCTTGGTAATATTCATGGGGCAGGTGCTCATCCTTAGAACTGCTGGGACTGTTATAATATAAAAAGTTATTATCTTATAAATGGAATTTCAATAAAGAATATAACCTGAATATAATGTGAACTAAACTTCCTAGAAAGCCATTGACGTCGCCCAGCTGAGAGGCATTTGTATCACAAATCAAACGCAGCAAACACGCTTCAGCAGGAAAACCAGATCTGATAATGTATTGACAATATTACTCAATATTTTATTTTAATTTAATAATTATCACACCCACCTTCTTAATTTATCCCGTAACATGGCATAGAAAACAGAGCGACTCATCAGAGTTAAAGCTCGCTTTTCACGGGAGGCTGTTTTTTTGAGGGAACCATTTGAAGTTGTACTATTGACCTTAATTTTCCAATCAGTGCAATTTTGGCAGTGTCGACCTTTGGCCTCGCGACCTGTGGTTGGATATGTCAGATATCCATCCTCAAAGTCCTGACCCATCTACAAATTGTTAAGAAAAACACTTTTAAACAGAACCAAAAGCTAACACCATTATCACACTCACCAAAATCGGTGGATATTTGTACACGTGCTCCGGCTGATAGTAATTGAACTCGTAATTGTAAGACAAAAAGACATTACGATGTGGCAAGTCAATGGGCACCGATATGGCCATGAATATCTATAAAGCAAAGACCATTTTACAGTAAACTTTTTAAAAACACTGGATTTGTAGTACAATTACCCCATACTCAGAGTTGGTAGTAAAAAGTAGCGTGGACTTAACAAAATTAAAGTTTATTAGTATGGCACATAATAAAACTGAAGTTTTTAATATAAAAGATATGTACATGTTATAAAAATATTTAAGAAGTATCCAAAAAGTAATGATTTCCGATGATCGACTGAGAGCGTTTTAAATCAGACTGGTGACCGAATTGGACAAAAGTCAGCAAGAAAGGTGCGTATCCAAGAAGCTGTTAATTAAAACCAAGAATTGGAAATCGGTGTCGGTCCGAATTGGTTTAATGCAGTTAAAACTGTAAGCGACTTATCGACCATCCAGTTTATTGTCTTCCATTTCGTCTGTCCAGAACTTCTCGGAGAACATCAAGCAATGGCCTTGAGATCAGATCCAATACATTCTCTTCACATTGGCTAGCATACGATGAGCAATCCCCATACCGATGACCATCCCATTCGGCTTGGTAATAGGCTTTGTCTAGATGTTCGTCACTAGAGCTGCTGGGTCTGCAAGAGGAAACCCCGGTTTTTGAGTGTGGTGTTAAAAATATCTTTCATTAACAGTTACCATCGTAGGTCTGAGCTATCATTGTCATTAGCAGATCAGAAAAAGCTCTTAGACTTACGTGAATAAGATATGCACTATGTTGCCTAAGAGTCCATTGACTTGGCCAAGCGTTGAAGCGTTAGTTTCGCAAATCAGGCGAAGAAGACAGGGCTTAGCGGCATAACCAGATCTGTAATGTATTAGTGTTAGGAATTATAATAAGTAACTACATTGTACTTACCTCTCAAGTTTATCCTTTAGCATTATGTAAAAATTGGTTCGACTCATGATTGGTAAAGAACGAGCAGAACGTAGCTTTGATGAACTGTTTCCCTGTACAGAGTGAAAGGATCTACTGCTGCTACCCTCACCTCCAGTGGTATTGTAGGTCAAGTAACTCTCCTCCCAATCATTACCCATCTAAATCGATCAAAATGTAATTTCTAAACCGAATATCCTGAATTTTTTTTACCAACTCACCAATATAGGAGGATATTTATAGACGTGCTCTGGCTGGTAGTAATTAAATTCGTAATTATACGAAAGGAAGACATTGCGATTCTTCAAAATAAGTGGCACGGATATAGCCATGAAAATCTAAATTTATGGAATTTAATTATGATAATTCAGAATACAAAACTATTATTATATTTACACCAAATTCAGAGTTAGTTTGAAATAACAAGGTGGATCTCACTGAGGCCCAGCTCAAAAGAATAAGGAAAAAGAATAACTGAATATCCATTTTTACAAAATATTTCCGAATTTTGTTTCGCGACCAAGAACTGCCAGACAACTGAAGCGCCTAGCGCCCAATATTACAACTTTTATAGAATCTTCAGAGCTGCTAATTGACCGGCACGAGAACGCACCAAAACCAACCGCAGTCAGCGATGGTCTCAAAATAACCACAGTCACGACGACAGATCGAGACCAAAAATAGATATTAAAACAGAGCTGGTCTACCAAGTTGCAAATAATGTTTTATTCCAATGCGTTCCGCATACGCTTATAGTTATTCCTAGTCTATAATAATGGTTCTTGAGGTGTGTGGCAGACGCTCGAGAACGCCTCCATTGGGCGTTTGCTACCTGGTGTTGCGCAATTTTCGCTCCTTCCAAGTAGCATACTTGGCATTGGCGGTGCTCAGCAGCTGGTTCATGTGCTGGGTCAGCGAGGAGCGCAGCGGCGAGAGTTCGTGCATGGCGCGATTCTGAAATGTACGAAAGTTCATGATAGGTTCAAGGAATTCAGTATTAAAACCAACCTCAAAAGGCACTAGTTTGGCCATTTTGAAGCGTTGCAAGGTCTCGTGCATGCGCTGCAGCTTTGCCTCCAGCTCCTCGGTGGTGGGCGGAAAACAGCTCCAAAAGTGCTTCAGCAGCTCGGACAGCGATAGGTATAAGTGACGCAGCTCTAGTTGGAAGTCACTTGGTACAAGTTCTGCAATAAGATGTATCGAAGTATTTAACTACGTTTAAACTTTAAATCAATTTCCTGCCAACTTACGTCCCGCTGACTGCTCCTGGAAGCCACGCATCATGGAACCGCCAGGACTCAGCTCTCCCAAGGCATTTACAGCTGCCTTGGAACATATAAAAGTCCGCTGAACGTTTCGATTTAGCCAGGATTCTGAGTTGCGAACCAGCCTGTACTGCACCTCTTCCAAATTCATGGAGTCGTTATGGTTATCATACATGCTGTTCTGGACAGGACCGTTGAGGTATCGATCCACCTTAGACAGTTCGAATTGTTTGGACTTGGTGGCCTTGTCTCCGTGGCCGGCAACGTTGTCTCCTTCTATTAGGGGTTCACCCAAATCCTCGTAATGAATCTTTTCCATCACTCGTTGCTTCTTGCTCTGTGGCTCGTCTTTGTCCACCTGATTGGAGGAACTCTTCGTTGCGGAAGCAGTGGCTTTCCCATTTACACCGTTCGTGTAGGCTGATTGCGAAACCGGTCCGTTGGCATTGTTGGTACCATTGGTCATGGTCGACGGTGCAGAGGTTACGTTGGTACAGGTCTTGAGCACCATGATGGAATGCTGATTGAATCGCTTAATCATATTCTGGTGGACAATGTTGCCGCTGTTCACGACGTTACGATCCCCAGCCACACTGCCGAAGCCCTCCTCCAAAGGAACATCCTCAAACTTTTTGAGATCCAGCAAAGGATCACCAGCTCCCTGCTGCACAGCCGCTTTTAAGGCCTGATCATCGATCTTCCCGCATTCTGTGAATATATCCTTCGTGCCAGCAGTAAGGCGATCTCGATGAAAGTAATGAGACTGGAAAAACTTTGTCCAGAACTCGGACTCGGGCATTTTGGCGGGCACATTCTCATAATGCTTGCGTTTGACGGCGGGATAGGTCTTAAAAATGCAGTGAATCACGTCGGAGGTGAGGTTATACTTGAGGCCATTACATCCGTCCGTTTGCGGCTTTATATCGGCCAGAAAAGCGCCAGAGACACCTGGAATTACAATCATACACCGTTAGAACTAAGAAGAACAGAAGGGATTTCACACAAACCGATCTCTTGGGACTTGCCCATCTTCTTTAGGGCATGTTCCTTGGCGTGAGTGGCCCAAAATTCATCGCTAGTTAGCACTTTGGTAATGACAAGATCCTTGTAGAGTTGTAGTAAATTGGGGTTTTCCACAAGGATGCGGTTCTTATCCTCAAGGTCTTTATCAACTTTGCGCTTGAAATTGGGCAGCAACTGTTGAAGCAGCTCCTTGACCTTGTCCCTGTCGGCATACATGGCAGGCTGTCCTCGACGATTAACAAAGTGGAAGGTTGATGTGTTACCGTCGTGAAGCACGACCTGCAACTGCACCTTGGGCTTGCCATCGGGTGAGATCTTTTGGGCTGCATATAAAAAGGTTTTTGAACCTGAACAAAAATTGTTTGAAAAATGCACCCACTCTTAATGTCTGCATAGCGATGAGAGACCGTAACAGTGTCCCTGTGCTCCGCCATCCAGGCCACCCGCTCGTTCATCACGTAGAGAGTTCCATCACCCTTTTTGTACCGCACCTCGCCCATCTGGAGCAGCACATCCTCGCTGCTGGTGGTCATCGTGTCCTCCGCCCGGCTCTCAGCAGTCGTAGTTGCAGTCGCAGATCCACGGTCGCCGTCTCACATCAGAGCCTCTGAAAGAACGAGAAAGGGGATGCCAGCAGAGTCCTGGCACCTGAAAGAGCAGAAAACGCGGTCTGAGAAGCATTTTTGGGCTGGCGGAAAAATCCCGCCTGGTAATTGGGAATATTAAATGTGCCGGCGGCACTTTCCCCCCATTTGGTGGTCGAATTTGCACGTTACTTGCAACTTATTACTGAAAACGCACGCACCTCGGCCAAAATCGTGAAATTATGCCAAAGTCAGTGTGGCCAGACTTGTGGTCGTGATGAAAATCTGTCCTTTGTATGCCAAGAGAAAATACTAGAAACTAGAACCACAGCCCATTAATCGAAATTATTTGAGCGGGAAATTCAAAGCCCTATTAAAAATATGTTGATAATTTTTGTCTTTTGTTTAGCATTTATTTGAATTTATTTGGGTTCTGTAATAGTTTATATAAAATCTGGAAAACAGTACCTTTAAGATTAAAAAAATCAAGTTATTATAAGATTAAATTGTTTTATTTTTCTATTATATGTATATTTATGTATATCTTTGCATCTAACTAACTTAAGTTCAACTTCAGTGCTTGGTTCGTTCCACAGTTCGCCCCCTTTCGAGTAGTTCCCGAAAGGTCTTGATCTCGTGCCGGGGAATGCTCTCGCGGTATTTGGGCTGCATAAGCCCGAAGATGAAGTCCAGCTCAGTCTCTTCGTCATGTCGTCCGTCTGGCAACTTGGCCAGCAGGGCACGCTGCTTGCAAACAAATGAGTCTATGACCTCGCCATGGGACTGTTTCGTCTCGAATATCTCCATGTAAATCTGGTAGGACGGTTTGGTGGGAGAGAAGTGATCTCGCAGAAGTTGCAGTGCGTCTGGCCAGGTCTTGGCATCACGGCGCACACCCTTCCACCACATAACGGCTATGTTGTTAAAGAGCAGTGGCAGACCCTTCAGGGCATCCTTATCGCTGATACCCTCTACCTCTTTGTAAGTCTCGACGGCATTGATGAACTCATCTACGGCATCATGATCTCGCTGGCCACTGAATCTCACCGTACAATTACTGAAGCTCCCCTTTGAAGGCGGTTGCTCATCTTTGATCGGTGCCAGGGATCGAATCGTTTCGATGAGTATGCGAAATTGTTCGTCGGACATCTGCGACATATTTTCGCCGGTTTTTCGTTTCGGTTCCGCGAAAAGTAAACAAACGAACGGCGGAAATGTAAGCCCTCTGAACGAAATTTCAAGCCCCAAGCGTTTGGCGGTGGGGGAGCAACTGCCGTTGAATTTTGCCAACTCAGAGATTTAGACTTCTTGTGAAATAAAACGCAATTCCGCTCTTCCATTGAGTAAAAGCTTTTTCGAATATCGAAAAGTGGACGCCGCTCTCTGAATGTGTTTAAATTAATTCGGTGAGCATTGCCTGACTCTCTGGGGGGTTCACTCCTCCTATCTTCATTCGATTTACACACATTTTTTCTAAAGATAATGTACCCTGATATCAGGTGGCATTCAAACATGTCATTTTCCTAATGGATGGAATTAGAAGAAAGTTATTTCTTGAAATCAATATTTATTTATATTTGGCAAAATAAATTCTATTTAAACCGCTTTTCTGAGGTCATCAATATTGATTCCCATGACAAATTAATATACATATGTAGATATCTATTAACTCAAAACTAATGACGTCACATTAATACAATAAAAAGCAAAATTAATTTGCGTTTTTAATGATTCAGAAATGCGAACACTTGTATAATGTAGGGAGAATTAATACACAGAGCTCTTTAGACCATGCACCCTAACTGAACTTAAGAATTAAGTACTTACCATGTTTTTATAAGTACACTTTACTTTAATAAAGGGTCGCGTGTATTGAATTTCGAGAGACAACGTAAAAGAATAAATTCTAATCAAACCGCTGAAATTACAGCCAAGAAAAGTATCTTCAAATGTAATGCAAATTTGTAAAACATAAACAAAGCTCTTTTCAATTGATAATATTATATTATCATAGTATAAGGTTTATATTTTAAAAATGTGTGCGTATTTATTTTTAATTTAAATTCATAAACAATTTTATACAATACCAAATGTTCTAGGAATTACTTCTTAATTTATTTATATTTGATGACAAGGTTGCGTGTCGGCTACCAAATAAATCACATACTTGAGAGAATTTCAAATAGCAATGTAATATTAACGTAAAAACATAAAAAAAAAACTTATAAATATCTTAGTACGAATTTGTTTCAAAAATGGTACAAAAATCAATTGAAGAATAAACTCAAACATTTATAAATGTGTTTATCAATTTTTGGGCTAGTTACCGGCTTTCAAGCTGATATATCATAGTATATAATTATTGTAGCTCCGATGATTCATAGCAATAATCAAACCAAAAAACATAGGCAATGCCCGCTCTTTGGCCGTTCCTCTCCCACTTTGGCTCTCCCCATTTCCATAAGCTTTTTCGAAATTCGATTTCACAACTGGCGGGTATAAAAGGCCCCTCCATTTGGGAGAGCTCTTCAGTTCACATCAACGGCCGCATTCGCTACACTGGCTTTGTCCGCCGACTGAACCACAAGAGTTTTATCACCTAAACCCAACATAACCAAAATGGCTCAACCGATAGTGATGACCAACGAGCAGCTTCACGCGCTGATCGAAGCCGTGCGAGTATCGGCCGCTAGTGCCGCCGGAAACGCAGCTGCAGCTGGAGAAGCTGGCGCCCAGGGTGCTAAAGGCAAGGGCAGCTTCTCTGCATGCACACATAGCTTCGGCGGTACGCGCGACCATGACGTGGTCGAGGAATTCATCACCAACATCAAGATCTACAAAGAGCTGGAGTACATCAGCGACGAGAACGCCCTTAAGGGTATCTCGCTGTTGTTCTACGGACTGGCCAGTACTTGGTGGCAGGGAGTCCGCAAGGAGGCCCACACCTGGAACGACGCCATTGCTCTCATCCGCGAACACTTCTCGCCCACTAAGCCCGCCTACCAGGTCTACATGGAGTTCTTCCAGAACAAACAGGAGGACAATGATCCAATCGATACCTTTGTTGTCCACAAGCGAGCTCTGCTGGCCCAGCTGCCCAGCGATCGCCACGACGAGGAGACGGAACTGGATCTGCTCTATGGCCTGCTAAACATCAAGTATCGGAAGCATATTTCCCGCCAGGCTGTACAGTCATTCAAGGAGCTCCTGGAACAGGGCCGAATCATCGAGCACAACAACCAGGAGAACGAGGAACAAGCTGCCACAGCGAAGAATGCTCGTGGCTCCCGGCGTACCACCCGCTGCACCTACTGCAGCTTCCGGGGTCACACGTTCGATAACTGCCGTAAGCGCCAAAAGGATCGGCAGGAGGATAACAACGAGGAATAGGTGACCAAAATACCAACAACCAACTAGAGGCAGCAGCCACCACATGACATCACCGGTGGTTACGCCCAAAAACAAAATTAATATAGAACTTTTCGTTGCCACACTGGCCGACCGACGTCAGCGAAAGCCCAACAACTAGAGAGAGAGAGCGAGGGAGCAGCAAGTACGGCAGCAATACCAACAGCAGCAACATGTACCGGCAGCAATCTCATTCTCTTCCAAACTCACTGGCATTTGGCATGCCGGTAAGCTTCGTTCAGCATCTAAAACCCAAAATAACCACGCTGTTTTATGCTACCATTCGCAGTATCTCAAAAACGGCTTTACTTTGATAATATTTCACGCCGCCATGCGGCTATTTTGGCAAGAAACGCCAGCATATCGTCCAACAATTTTTGAAATTGTAACATTGAATTTTGTATTTTTAACTAGAACAAGCAAAGCTTCGAGAATTATCAGGCGGAACGGCTGAGGATCAGGCATTTCGTCCGAAAAATCGGTTGGTTGCAATGAAGAAATACGAATTTTATATCCAAAGGGTTTCTGCCAAAAGCTTCGGCTATGGCACCCCTTTGGCTACGGGATTTTTGTTTTAACATTGCGACTACGAGTGGATGTTGCTTGATCTTCAGTCGCCTTCCATCACCAGATAATTCTCACAACCGCCGGCTCCACTTTGTGCCGCTCAGCGGAAGAGTAGCTATAACTTGGCCACCAGAGAGATGATCACTATATTGAAAAATGTAGGGGACATCGCTTTTGTAACCAATTTCGCTGTTTTTTCAACTGATCCAGGTCCTTTGTGAAGCTAGCAAAAAACCCCCCGCCCAGTGATCGCCCGCTTAGATCCTTTTGCACGTGACATCGACAGCCCCGTTGGGTGACCATTCGCATTTCCGGTCGAAGCTTCGGCTACTTCCGGTTTTGTGGGTTGGAGCTCTTCGTGATGTCTCTAGTGCGAGTGGATCTACAGGGGGCGTGAACCGGGCAAAACCTAAATTTCCTCGGAAATTTAAAAAACCAAACAACTTTTGACTTTTGTCAAAACTTTTAGTAACCACATCGTACTACGATGGCTCCTGATTCGCCATTCGTGCGGTTGGCACGTCAAAATTGTCCCAGTCGGGATCTCGGGTGTTGGGCTGTTTAACATTTCACCCCTTTGATTCCGCGACAAGCTTAAGGCACGCCAGAACACAACAACAAACGTCTGCGGTTGGATCTCGTCACTGCCGCGCCCCTCCAGCCGGTATTGACTCTTTCCGCCCACCATATGCTAAACCGGTCACTTGTGCAGATGACATAGGCGCGTCACAACCATCCGACCCGGAATATATCCGGAACATGGTGGCTAGGCTTACACCGTGCGCCATAAATTGGAGATTTGGCCACAAGCACACACAAAGTTTGGCCCGCAATCCTCACGCAGCATCCAAAAGTGGGGTCCTATTGATGACCTCAAGTGACCGGGATTAAGCATCAGAAATCAAGAAACTAAGAAAGACTGAACCCAGAAAAAATAAACTAGAACACCTAAACAACATATATGGAATTATTTTTATTTAATTGGGATAAGCGGGTAAATTCTGTTTTCAGGCAATAAACAATTCAAGAATTATTCTTATTTATTAGTTATGTAAAGTTTAAATAAGGTAAAAAGTCTAATATACTCTTAAAAACTACAACTGAAAACAACACCAAAACAAAACAGAAGCAAGTTATCGATAGACTCCATTCCGGCGGAAATGACATCGTAGCCAGATGTCTGTTATTTAGATTTAGTATTTTTTATTTATCATATTTGTATGGCAGAACATACCCATAAATGTCAATGTTTTTATTTGAAACAAAAAGCATTTTGTTGCGGCTATTTATGCCGAAGTTTGTTTTATAGCAATAAAGCCCATAATATATTAAATAATAAAAGTTAAAGGAATTATTATTATCATTTTTATTAAAATATCTTTGTTTTAAGAGCTAATAAAAGGAATAAAAATTAATAATTTAAAAAAGAAAGTTACTTGCCTTTAATTTTGAATGACTAAGTGATGCATACCAGTATGACTTGACGCTAGGCCGTCGCTCAGTATGACTTGCATTCTGCCACTTGGTCACACTGGCGAAAATAATAATATTTCCTAATCAATATACCTGATATCAACAACTGATGCACAAAACACACCGTCTCACCACCGACAGCCAGTACATGGAAGTCGAAGGCTTGCTGCAGGTGAGTGGACGCGCTACATTCGTGGATGATTCCTGCTAATCCACTTCTACAACGCCCTTTCTTTTTGCCCCGTCGCACCACACCACACCACTCCGCTCTCCACGCTCCACCCACTCGAAAAACCTGGCCAAAAACCATGCACATACTCGCACAGGCGATGGACATGCCCACCAGCCACGATCCGGAGGCGGAATTGGAGCCGGAGTCCACGTCGCTGTGTCGCCTGAGCCGCTACAATGTGACCAACCTGTACGATGGGCCGGCGGGCGGGGGGTCTACTTTGGCCTCGGGCCGCCAGCGTTGCTACACAATGCCGCATGTGCCACCGCCAGCGCCGCCCTCCACGCCCACATTGCTGACCAGCGGGGGTGGCGGTAGCAGCAATTCCGTATCCGTCTCCATTTCGCCCACCTGCTCCGCTGGAAGCCATCCCCTGGATAGCCAGAGCTTGAGCCAGAGCCCCTTAAACCACTTCATCTACGTGAAGAACGGCAAGAACCTGCGTCGCGAATCGCGTTGTGTCGACTCGGAATTGTCCAAGTTATTCAACGTGGTATCCATCACAAATCGGCTGACGGCCATTAAGAACCGCAGTAGTTCAATTTCGAATTCGAGTGGGATCCTTAATGCCTCGCGCACCATATCGAAGCTAAATGGGGCGACGGCCACCAAGATCTTTAAGATCCATAGAGATCCCAAGGAGTTTCTGCGGGAGACAGATGAAGATTCGGTGTCGGCGCCGGAATACGACGAGGAGGAAGAAGACACTCGCTTTCGGTTCTTCCGGCGGGCGCGTTTCTCGCGGAGGTATAGCACAGCTCGATCCGGCCGGAAATTCGCGCGGAAGTTCGCCCGATTTGAGCACCATGAACGCATGGAGACCATCGTAGATAGCTTCGATGCGGCCATGAGCTTCAATGATGCAGACACCTGAAAGCCGGAGGAAGATAAAACGACGACGACGGCAACAGTTGAGGATGAGGCATGGCAGATGGTCGGCCAACCAATGTGATGAATGTGAATTTCAACTAAATTATTTTAATTGCTACAAACTACTATTATTACGATTATTATTACCGATTACCGAGCTGTTCTCTCCATACGTTTAGTTTCCTTCTATGGCGATTGCCGTCGCCTCCGTGATCCAGCTCCATGCCCCCAAACGATTGGGTTTGAATACGGATCGCGGACGCAGCGCAGGGCACGCATTTAGTTTAAAGCCTAGTTTTACGCCTACGCCTCTGGGGCGGAGCAGGTGCAGCCGACCACCGATTGGTTGATTGCTCCACGAACAGAACGATTCCAATAAATGCACAAAACGTGTTGTATTCGAGAAGAGAGATTAATCGACCTTACTTTTATTTAATCAGGTCGGGTAGAACATTCATTGTTTTCTATAATGTGTAATAGAACATTTAATCCTTTCGCTTAAGCTAATCCAATTTCCAGACCTACCAATTTCCGATTGTTTTAAATATAAAATTATTTAAGCCACATTTTTTAAGGTTTCCCCTTTTGTCTTTATTAACTTTTTATATAGACGTATACAAGGTTATATTAGTTTTCTTTCGCTAAAAATTGCAACTTCAACGAACTAGACATTTAGGGAGCAATGCAGGCGGCGAAAGTCTCTCAGACTTGACAATAAAAGAAGCTAACTCTAGCTTGACTCTGTTGCAAGTCTATTGGGGTGCTTACTAACAGCTACTTACAACTATGCAGTTCCGTGAACTCATTTTTATTTTGCTTTAAAAGCAAAGAAAAAAACAGTAACATTTATAAGTTATAAAAATAGAATTCGAGTAACTTTAAGGATTTAAGCGCGATTCAAAGAGAAATATGACATGAGGTTATCCTCCAATTGCTGCGGATCAGTAACTGGCATACGGCACGCTCGCTCATGGCAAATATAAACCGTAGTCTTGCCCCCGACCATTTTAAACTTCGTTTGTAGGCGCCGGTTAGAGCCTTCTTCTGGATTAGAGGGATCCACATGTACTATAATCATGCTTGGGATGTAAAACTTGCGGCAAATTTCAACAAAACGTTGAGTATCGGGGCAATCCGGTCCCACAACAGCGACCAGATCCAGTCCGTTCTCGTGCATCAGCAGGGCGGATAGCATCTCTGGGAGAGCATGGCCAAAGGGAGCTACGTCGGCAAAGAAGTTCAACAGTTTCCCAGCCCTTTGAAGATAGGAATTGTCGTCGTAATAGTGTCCCAAAAGGACGAGATTGCGGGCGGAGACACTGTTACCACTAGGCTCGGCACCATCGTGGTCTTTAGAAATATATAAGAAATAAGTTTGTGGAGACTAAAGATCCAAAAGATGATCACACTTACCTTCCTTGAGCCGCACGATAACGTTGGGTGCATTTTGCTGTGAGAAGAAGTACGCACCATTTTTCTCGTCCCAGAAAATCCTATCCTGTGTGTCCTGCAATTCCTTAGCCCAATGCATAGCTTCTACGTCTAGTGTAGACTTGTAGTAGTCCAACAAACCCTTTATAAGGAACGCATAATCATCCAGAAAGCCATCGATTTGGGATCTAGAAAGATAAATGATTTTTTTATTTGAGTTTTTAAATTAAATATTTTTAAAGGTAAGTAACATATTCTTGATATAAAACTCACTCGTTCTTCTCCAGGGTTTCATCTCCTACGGCCACACCATAGCAAGAACGGATGAGAATCTTCTGTTTTGGGTCATACATCTCTTTGCGAAGAAATTCGAGAAGTTCCTTTGCTGTCTTCATGTACTGTTCCCGATTCGCGGAGTAGCAGTTGGCCAACTTGCAGAGTCCAGACAGGACCAGGCCATTCCAAGCGCAAATAATCTTGGTGTCCAAGTGCGGACGCGGTCGCTGATCTCGCAGAACATGCAGAATATCGTTAGCTGTGTCCAGCAGCTTATTAAATTGTTCCGGCTTCAAATTGAAGTTAGCACAGGTGTCCTCCTCCGATCCCCGTACGATAAGTATATTCTTGCCAGTAAGATGGCCATGAGGATCACTATAAGCTGGTACATTTCCCGGTGGCTTTAGATCGTAGTGAAAAGCATAAATTTCAAAAGCTCGCTCGGGCGTAATGTCGTCAAATCGTTTGGCCTGGTCCGTGAAAGCAGCTTTAATCTCGTCCCAGGTCCAAGCATAGAAAGCTCCTTCTACCTTTACTTTGTCATCATGGGTAGGCAAAGAGTCAGCATCCTCGCCTGCATAGAAGCCTCCCAAAGGATGTCTTAAGTCCTTAATCAAGTACTTGTATATTTTGTCTGCATAGTCCAAAAATGTTTCCTTCCTGGTCACCTTGTAGGCATTGGCAAAAGCCACCATTAGTTGGCCCTGATCATAGAGCATCTTTTCAAAGTGGACGTTGTGCCAGTCCTGAGTGGTCGCATACCGAGCAAAGCCGCCAAAAACATGGTCATTTATGCCACCCTTTCCAATCCGATTCAGCGTTTCGATCACCATGTCCAGTACATCCACATCCTTAGTGACTAGATAGCCATGAAACAGAAAGTTAAGACGTGGTACCTCCGGAAACTTTGGCTCAGAACCAAATCCTCCGTGGGTCTGGTCGAATCTCTGCTTATGGACGTTGATACCTTCTCTTAGCTTTTGTAGAGCACTTCCCGCTTCGAATGCCGCTTCTGCCACAGCACTAGCATCCTGGTTCTTCTGCAAAGCAGCCAACAAAGCGGATCCGGCATTTAAAAGGGACTCCTTATCGGTTTCCCATTTCTTAGCAATGGATTTGAGGACCGCACCAAAAGACGGCATTCCATACCGAGATTTTGGCGGGAAATAAGTTCCCGCCACCAATGGTGCCAAATCAGGAGTTAACCACACGCTCATTGGCCATCCTCCACTGCCCTTGGACATCAGAAGGAATTGCATGTAAACCTTGTCGATGTCCGGACGCTCCTCACGATCCACCTTGATGTTTACAAAGTGCTCGTTCATAATGGCCGCTGTTTCGGGACTCTCAAAGGATTCGTGTTCCATTACATGGCACCAGTGACAGGTGGAATAGCCCACCGAAAGAAAGATGAGCTTGTTCTCGCTGCGGGCCTTTTCGAAAGCCTCCTCGCCCCAGGGATACCTACAAAGTTTTAGGATTCAATTAAAATCAACGATATCTAGAGCTTTGTCTGAGTTATGACTTTGTTCGCCACTTTATTTCGTTTACATGGTTTCTTTGTTAAGATTGGGTATTGCTACATAACAAGTTTATATAATAACAAAGGGAAGAGGCTTTCAAATGGTAAAATAAATTAAAAACCTTAAATTGAAGATAACAAAAGCGAGGTATTATTAGAATTTTTTGAGGCTCCACATATGAACGAATATTATTGTTTTGTTTGCTGTTTCTTTGTGATTTGTAGCAATCTTATCTCTTATCACACGTGATTTAACGACAAGCTACACCCACGATTCTCTATTTACTTGGCGCCTTCGATATGTGTTTCGTTTTCTTCTACTCACCAGTCAACCGGATTATAGGCATGCTGCAGAAGATACGGAGACTTAGAGGCAACTAAGCGATTGCCCTGCTTTGGCGGCTCCTCCTTGGCAGCTTCCGCCTTTGCTACTTCTTCTTTGGATGCTTCTCCACCGGTGGCCATTCCCCTGTTGTTCAGACTACGCCACATAAATAATAAAAAACATTAAAAACAGGTGGTTGATAGGACGAACGAGACTTACTTGCTCACAGTCCGACAATGACTACGACAACCGATGTGTGGGAGTCGCAGGTTCCGTCGGACCGATTCGGACTTCGATGTATCTGTTTGGAGTTTCAAGGTCGTTTGCACAGAGCTTCGTATCCAGGGGAGAAGCGGTCTGACCCTGAACATAGCAAACGAATCGGGAATCTCGGGGCTTGCGCTTTGCTTTCACTTGACCTCGTCCAATGCTAATAAAACTGCAACGTGTGCAAGCGACGCGAACTGACCCAATGTTTTTAATATTGTTTTGCATATCGGCTGTAGAGCTGGAACAAAAGACGATTTTTTTTTGATACTATCGGATGTCAAACTGTATTCATTTCGATGCTTACAGTTTGATCATCGATTAGTTTTGTTTGAATATTTCTGTTACGTATTTTACTTTTAATTTAATCAAATTATTATATGTCGGTAAATAATTATACGAAAATCAACGCACAAATAATATAGTTCAATATTCAAAAACAAATTTATTTGTGAAATATAAGCACGAGTGACTACAAAACTTGTTAAACCGGTAAGTTCATTTACATTTAGATGAGGCGGTGTAACAACCTTTAATAAAATTACAGTAGAACTTCAAAAACAAGAATCCCTATCTGTTGACCAAAGAGCTCGAGTTAGGTAAACTTCAAAATATCTATATATATACTTAATTGTAGTTAGCATTATATTTAGACACTTTGAAAGAGCCAATTCTGAATTGCGAGAGTTAACTATATACATACATATACATTCTTTATGATAAAAACGCAGCCGATAATAAGCCACCCATAATGAAATGTGAGAATTATATTTTTCTTGAAACGAAATTTTTTAACTATTTTTTGTTGAGGAAACCTACAAATACCTCAGTCACAGCTATAATTACTTTAATTTATCCAAATATATTTAGGTTATCGAAGTGATTTATCCCAATTTGTATTGCCTACTTTCAGGCTGTATTCAAAATACCAGTTAAATAATTTTCATAGTTTTATTAATGCATACAGTTTATCTTTGCTTTGATAATTATGTAGAAAATGCTTACACCTATGCGGCCGATATATAGAATAATTAACCTACTAGCTAGTTGAAAATCACAAATGAACATACAATATTTATACATTATAGTGTGGGTGTGGTAATTAAGCACATCGTTTTAAACTAATACACATTGCGGACTGGGCTGGCAGATCCTGCAGACTCTCTCGATCGGCTCTCAACTTTGAGTTGACAGCAGGGAGAATCGAATCGGCCAAGTTGGCCATTAGCCAATAGCTATTAGCCAGTTTAACAATCGCTTTGGACTAGCGCATCGCTGAGGGAACTAAGCTGCTCCTCGCTGCCCTTGATCCTTTCGGCCAGGTCGCGTGCATCGGCGATCAATTTGGCCTTCATGTTGATGAAGTAGTCGTAGTCGGCGCACATATCGGCGCTGAGGTTTTTGCCCAGTAATCCGGCGATGCTGGTTCCACGTCGATCTATATCCGATTTTAAGCGTTGCGCCTCCTCTAATTGCTCATATAACAGATCCCTCTTCGATTCCAGCGCGCCCTAAGGATTATATTTATTATAATATCTTTCATTTAGTAAATTCTAAAATATTCTCACCTTTTCCTGCTGGCGCGTTTCCAGGCTGCACTCGGTTTGGGACAAACGCTCGGAAAGCGAGAGAAGTAAACTGGTGATGTGACCCACGTCGTCGACGTAGGTGCGGAACTTGGAGGCTTCGCTGGGACGCACCTTCTCCGCCAGCTTGGCAAAGAGATCCTGGCCCAGTTTGTCATTCGTCGAACACTCTTCACTGATTGTCTGCTGCTCACGTTTTAGAGAGCCAATTTTTTGGTTCAAATGCTTGATGAGCTCATCCTGCAAAGGAGATAAAGATTGGTTATAGGATTTAGGATTACTAAGATATCACATGAAAATACCCACCATCTTTTGTTTGATTAAATTTGTTGGCTCTTCGCTTGGCTCGCCCAGCTGCAGCTCCACACTGACCACTCGAATCTCGGTGGGCGATGTGATAGACTTCATTCGCATTAGGGTAGAGGTGCCCACATCGCGCTTGGCTAGCCGCAGGGGCACATCCGGATTATACAGATTGCTCACGTACTGTGAGGTGGGCTTGCAGATCTTTGGTGTAAGGATGTCGGCGATTTTATCACCTGGCGGCAGGAGCTTCACCAGCTCCCGGCTCATCTGCTCATAGTCCAGTTCGATGGGTTGTCGCTGGCGGGGCTGCAGAGTGGTCCTGGTCGGATGCTCTTCGCGAGCCGCCTCGAGGTCTGTGTCCCTGTCTTCCAGTTCGTCCGTTTGGCAGGCCATATCCGTTGTGCTGGGCTTGGGGTTCACAATCAGGACCAATTCACTGCGCTGCATCAGCTGCAGTTCCTCGATCTTGGGCTCTTTGTCGAGCACACACATCTCCTCTACCTCCTCCTCCTCTTCTAGGGGAGGCGGACTGGGCGGTGGTGGCGGTGTCATCATTGGTTCATTGACGAAACTGGCAGTGGGACTGGTTATCAGGGGACTGGTGTAGCCGCCTATAAGACCCGTGTCACAGAGATGCGCCGACATTAGTTGCGACTGTAGTTGGGTGATCTTCTCGATGTTCTCCCTCAGAGATTCCTGGCGGTTCATCGCGGGCTTGGGTGGTGTTATCAACGGGTTTGTATTCAGGGTGGTACTGATCACCTCGGCGCGGAAGATGTGCGCCTCGGGCTTAGGAATCGGTGTCACTATAGGATTGATTGTGCACTCCAGGGAACTGGTGCTCAGACTGCAGTCTGAGTGCGAGGAGGCCGGCGAGAGGCGTGGCGGTGTGGGCGTCGGTGTGGGTGTGGCAGAGGGCAGTACCTCTTCCAACGTCGTCTCCAGGTCATGGGCGGCCTGCTTGAGATCCACGTGGGACTGGGACATTAACGGCATGGTCACCGCACTCGTGTGCTTCACATCGTACGACTGAGATCTCGTGTATTGTTGTGGGGTCACGGGTTTCGGACTCTTGCCGTAGCCCTGACTCAGAACCGGAGTTGAGTACCTCTGCCCATAGTAGTTGGGCGTGGTACCTGTCGGTGAGTTCCCAGCCAGATTATTATTAGAACCATAGCGCAGGGTCACATTGGTATCGCCGTTCGGCGATCCTGGCTGCAACTTTGGCTGCTGTTGGAGCTTAACGCCCAATGGCAGGACATCTGGCAGATTGTTAGGCAGTTTGCCAGTCACCCCATAACTGGGCTTAGTGTGGGCCACCAGGTCCTCATTGGAGGTGAGGGTAAGCTTGTAGACGCCATGGTCGGGATCTGTGTTGTTCAGCTTCTCCAGACTCTGGCGCGGCAAATACGAGGCCTTGGAATTTGATCTGTAAGAAGAGTAAAAGAGAGGAGTTTTATAAGTGAAAGTAGAAAAAAGTTTCTAATAAGTAATATTTCCTATTGATAAAAGTGTAATTTTAAAGAAATTTAAAACTAAGTCTGAGTCTAAGTTTGCCCCTCTACATAAACATTGTTTTCAATGTATTATTTGTTTTAGATCTGATTTCTTCAGTTTATGGGCGTTGCAGCTTTGCTTTGTAAAGAAAAAGGTTTTCCTGGCATAAAATGTCAGCTAACTAAAGGTCATCCGTGGGGTCATCGGCAGTAGCCGCCACGACTTGGGAAATAAGCACCAAAAAAAAAAACCATATTTCCCGAATCGCACGTCTCATTAATGCAAATGGGCGGCCATAATCTGGACAGATGCTAATTGAGTCCTCGGAAGGAGGAGGCTCAGGCGGAGGTGGAGGCACAGCTTTAAACCGAAACCCGATGCAATCTTTATCTTCAAGCACCCACATATTGTAAATTATTGTAATATGATGGCGAAAGCGACGACCGATGAAATTATTCTGTGCACGACGCGAGGAGACGACAGTTCGTCGTGTGTTAAGCTGATTTCCAAGACACAGGGCACAAAAAGGCGGAATAAAAACGAAAGTGAAATGTTTACAGTGCAATTATAAAGAGTTTTATGTTTCAGAGTTTCAGAAAAGCAAAAGTCAGAGTCGTTTTAGTGTGCAAGGCGTATGACGATGTCCGCTTCCCCTTCTTACCCCCATCCACCCCTTCCATGACAACTTTCAAAAGTGCTAAACTAATTTGTTATGTTTTTGTGTACCTAACATCTCGGCTGTTTCTTTCTTTTTTTTTTGTTTTTTATTGTAAAAGCTTTTGTTAAAAATTTTAGCGCATATCGTTCGGCTTGGCCACCCCCAGTTTTGGCAAAAATCTTTATTGTTTCTGCATTACATACAGCCAGACTTGAAGACTGCGGTATATATAGAGATATACATATGTAGCTTTGCATCTGAAGAAAGCCATCGAAGAAATGTTGTCGCATTTGCATAAATTAAGAGCAGAGTGAAAGAGATGAAGATGAAACTGGGGGAATACGTTTTGGACTGGCTTACATCACTGGAGCTAGACAAAACAGCTGTTGGATGTTGGTTGTATCTTTGCCCAGTTAGCATTTGCATAAGCGCCAGTCTTTTGTCTAGTTCCATCTTTCAAAGTCCCCCTCTTCCTCTTCACTTTCATTGCTGAGCCAGAAAGGGAGAGAGAGAGAGATGGTTAGATGCTGCCATTTCGCCTTTCTTAATCACTTCCGTTCGCCTGTTGAGTAAGTCTACTTTGTATTTTTTTTTCTACTGCCAATTTGGCTAAGACAAAGGCAAGAAACGGTTGCATTTTCATATGGATTTGCATATCAGGGTGATGACATCACAAGAGTTAATTGAAAGCAGGTCTAGCATAAGCCAAGAACTTACAGAACAGTCAAGGGAGATAATTGCTCTTATCTAGTGGGGTTATCATCTTGTAATCTTAGCCAAGCAACATAGATAAGGCCTTGGGAAAGAGACCCTTGTAATCCCCCAACAGAATTCCTCTTTCAAGATAGAGATTTACCTGACATAAGCTTATTATATATACACACCCTCAATATCGAGGGACGGGGCAAATGTAACAGCTTTATTATGATTCACTTCACATATCAAAAATAAGTTTTTTTTTTTTTGCCAGCTAATATTGTATAATTCCCAATAATATACGGCTGGGCGAGAGACAATGACAAAGGCCGAAAGAAAGGGTCAAAAGAAATGTTCGGACACTGGGCTAAATACATTTCCATACAATTAACGCATATTTTATTTATATATTTGCCTATCTTTCCCTCTATTTGGCATTATTAAGCCGAGCGGGGCGGCGTTCCATTTGGTTATGTGATGCAAATTATGAAAAGGAAAACAAAAAAATTGATAAATTACCTTGCCTTGCATAACCCACGGCATTAATGTCGACAATAAACACCGTTCGTCTATAGGGCTTAAAAAATCGAATATCGGATATTATCACCTAGCTTACTAAGCTTACTAAGCTCTCCTAGCCAGCAACCGCTAACCACCACCCGCCTGGTATGGGATAATTGGTGGGTTCAGTGGCTTTTGGGTGGTGTTGCCGATCCAGGTCTTGGTCAGTGGCCTTTTGCGTTGCGCATTGCGTATGCAACACAGCATAGCAACACATCAGCGGCAACTATAACTGCAACATAGGCAATAGATGTTGGTGCAGCAGCCACAGTTGCACTATAATTTTTGATCAGCAATATAACGAGCTGTTTGCCGTTTGATGCTGCTGCTGCTCCTGCTGGCTGACTAGTTTTCGTTGATAGTAAAAGTATTTTATTTAAATATGCCGACAACGACAACGACAACGCTGGCGACGCATGGAAATCACGTTTTTAACATCTCGTCTTAACATTGAGCCGAAAAAAAGGCGAACAAATGTTGCTGTTGCTGCGGTTGCTGCTGCTGCTGCTGCTGCTGTGGCTGCTGCTTGTTGTTGAAAACATAAACATCTCACAAGCTCAGCCGAAACTGAAACCTGAAAACGGGTTTGTCGGCACCGCATCGCACACATTTTCACTTGCCGCAAAATGACGTCAAGTCAACATACAAAAACAAAATAAAGTAAAACAAAAACAGATGGCCATCAGCGCAGTTAGCTTTCTTTCGGGGGGAGGTCAGCATTGCGGCCAGAACAAATCGCTTCTGTTTTTCTTTTCTTTAGTTTTTCCCTGGCATTCAGGCAGAGACAGCAGCCACGCATCATCGTCCATCAAAGTATGCCATAAATTTCTCTTGGAAAACTCCACGAAAAACAATGCAAGAAACAACACGGCAGCAATAGCAACATCAACAGTAATAAAGAAAAGAAAAAGGAAAAGAAAAGTTCTCTTTCACTTAAAATGTTAGCTAAGTGGTGGCATCTTTTTCTGGGAGACGCTGTAGAAATAAAAGACTTACTTCTAACCTTCTGGCGGAGAGTCCCACAATCGCCGCCTGAGATTTCCCCGCGCAACCTAAATCCGAATCGAAAACTTTTCCTCTCGAACAATTTGTGCCTGTTCATCTGTTCATCTGCCTCGTGATCGGACTCCAATTGTCTGCCTCTCCGCTTGGTTTCTTGTTTTCTTTTCTAATGCCGCGGCTACTGTTGCTGATGTTGCCGTTGCTGCTGCTGCTGCTGCTGCTGTTGCTACTGTACCATAATTATGATCCATTAATTCTGGCAGCAACGCCAACAATGATGGCTTGTGCAATATTTTTAATGTAAAATCGATTTAATGGCGCTTTTCGCTTGCGGCCCTCAAGCACCAAAAATAGATAGCTTGGGAAATGCAGCAGTGGCAGCAGCAACATCAGCAACAGATGCCCACTGCTGCTCTTGGCCCAGCCCCCATTGAAAGTGTCGAAAGTGGTCGGCCTGTCCCATTGAATCCGATGAAACTGGGTAATTAACTTGTGAGCTAAACGGCCTCAGCTCATCATAATTACAGCTAAAAAGATGCCTGCAACCAGGGGGCAGAACACGGCAGCAACATCTGCAACAGCAGCAGCAGTAGCATCAGCAACACTAGTTGCAACCAGCACGGGAAACATGTGTGCGCACTGGACTACGACAGCAACAAGCTTGTAAATAATTCCAGCCCCACCTCCCGCACTTTAAATAGTTACTTTTGATATTCGCAAAGTTGCGTTTGCATAAACAAATTATTCAGTCGAGTGCGGGCCTTTTGTCTGCTGGCTGTTGATGGGGGCCAGCAGAGGAAGTGGAAGAGATTGAAGGGTGCACAAGGAGAAATATGTTGCCATGAAATTGGAAGTTGTTAGATGTTTAGGGAGTATATAAGCCATATGAAAGCAATTATCTGATTATCAAATAAAAACCAAATTAGTTTGGCTGATTTGAAGGCATTAAAAGTCCGTGGAACTTAATCAAGTTGAGAAGGTGGACTGTATTTAAACATACTCTTTCTCATTCCACTGATACTATTATCGAAAGTTAAAGCTCTTAAAAGGAACTAAGGGTTACCTTACAGAGTTCTAGGCATTATAATAAATTATTTTCCAAACCAGCAAGTTCCGGAAATATCTTTAAATCATAAATCAAATAGCGTAGATTTTCTGGCAGTGCAAAAAGGGGCTCGAGGGGAGAGAGGAGAGCCCGCTGCTAATATCCGCGACACATCTGCCAATGACATTTTCACTCTCAGCCCACTTGGCATATAAATTGTACACACACAGAGCGGCCAACTTGTATTGCCCTCGGGCGCATGCGCAACACGTCCGCCATGGCCGGATCAGCCGAAAGTCGGGGGATATAGCAGGGGGATATAGCAGGGGGATATAGTGGAGTGGGGGTATAGTGGAGGGGATGGCTACAAGACTTTGAGCCATTTGCGTTTTTTTTCTGTATTTTTGTGTTTTTGTTTTAGATATTACACAAAAGCCGCTGTTCGGCGTCCGGCCTCTGTCGTCCGTCGCCGAATGCCAAAGTGTTGCGGCCATTGAAGGAACTGCCCTGAATACGGATTTCTCATTGTTTTTAGCCAACTAATTTCAGTTGAAAGAGAGCGAAAGATAATGGACGGCAAAAGAGCGAAGAGGCCAACATACACATTTACTTGTTAGCCAAGATCCGGCGGCGGAGAAATGAAATGGTAAGAAAAGAAATGAAAAGAAAAGCATGCGAAGCGGCTCTTAATTTCTTAATAACACAAATTTCTCAACAAACTTTAGAAAAACCAGACACAGAGAAAGAGAGAGAGAAAGAGAGTGTGAGTGAGAAGGAATTCTGAAAATGTTTAATGACAAAATAAAGTTGAGAACTTCCTAGGTTACACCATAAAGTGTAGTGGGGCCTTGTCATGAACCTTCATTAGCTGTTAATTGTAAAACTTTATGAAGCGCGTAAAATGAAAAATTTTCCAACAAAATAGCCATGATGATATGAAATGATGTCACCTATGCAGAACTGCACTTTC